TACGGGATCTTGAGTGTGTATTTGGTTTGATTTCCTTACTTTACAGATGAAGAATTGAGACCCGCAGATGTCTGAGAGCTCATTAGTTAGTGGCTAAAGGCCTGATAGCTGGTCTAGAACTTCTTCCCACTGTTTCTCTCTGTCCCTAGATGATGACACAGCTGTAAAGACAAGAAGCCCCCACCCACTCCAGGTACTACTTCTGTCGGCAGCTTCTTCTCCGTGTTTTTTCAGTATGAAGCCAGGCCGTCATTTTACCCCAATATTTGTTTGCTGACAAGAGGGAATTACATGGTACCTGTAATCACACCTCTCCCCTGCGAACATCTGGCTTCCCAGGTTCAGCCTTGGGAGTAGAGTCTCTTGATGAGCATTAAATTGGGTTTGCCTTTCAGTCCTGTATGTTGACAAGTGGATTAGCGTTACCTGTGTGGTAGGGCTGGAGGGCCTATTGGTGCTTGCAACAGCAGTTAGCCTTTCCTCTGCCTCCCGGCCAGCCTGTGGTCTGCCTTTCTGGCTCCCAGCCTTGTTTCAGATAAGACTTGGGAAGTGGCAGCGCTGTCTGGATCCTCAGTGTGTGGGAAGCAGAGCCGGGGGGTAGTGGGCAGAAACAACACAAGTTTCCATGTAAAGGACATATGATAGGAGTAACTCGTGGGGGAATTTTCTCAGGCTTGGTTCAGCCTTAATTTTAGTTGTATTTCTAACTCACCCCATTTTTCTGTGCTTGTATCAGTTTTTCAAATATCAAAATTAACTTTGCTTTCTGAGGATAAAAGTATTGTCTGTTCATTACGGAAAGTACAGAACTTTTGGAAAGTACAGAAAGCATAGAGATTAAATATCACAGACATATTAGTGTATGTCTTTCTGGTACCTTCTCTTCTTTCTTTGAGGTCTGTCCACATATCTCTGACTTGGAGGCTTGGCTCTCTGGTGTGTCCTTTCAGCGGGAGAGGCCCTCCTCCGTCTTGCCCTTGGTTCCTCTGGTTTTGAATGCTGGTGATCTTGCAGTCAGTGGAGAAGCTGGGTCAACTGGGCTTCTTCCAGGAGACAGAAGGAGAAACAGGAACTTCGACTGTGTGCTTCCACAGCTTTCTGTCTCGGGTGTGCAGGTGTGCGACCCTCAGCTTTCCCATCAGCTGCAATGGGTGTGCCCTGTAGCACTCTGGCAGGTTCCCTCCCAGCCCCCGTCCTCCCTTTCGGTTCTGGCCTTACGCAGAGCAAGACAGGGGTTGTGACACTGGAGGCTGCCTCTCAATGCAAGGTCTGCTTACAGCTGGTTCCTCTTAGATCACTGGGCCTGCCTTTTGTCTGGGGTCAAAAAAGAATTGGAAGCATGTGATGAAATCTGCTTGCTGCTGTGGTGGCAGCTCCCGGCCGAGCGGTGTCCATCTTCCCTGCAGCTGCTACCTTGCACCTTGTGTACGCCCCGGCCCGGGACGAGCAAGGAGCACCCGCGCCTCAGTGGAATCCCCCGGTCGCTTTGACCATGAGGCAGTCATTGTCTAACTTGCTGTTTCTCTGGGACAAAAGACAGAAGATCAGTGCATGTGGTTGTTTGTCTAGTCTGTGTTTGGAGAGGAGGTGGTGGTTTTGACCACAGCACAAGTTCATGGAAGGGAAGCTGACGTTTTCTGAGAGGCTCCTCTGGTTGAGGCAGCGTCACCCAGCTTCCCCGATTGTGCCCGATGGCACCGAGGCTCAGAAAAGTCAAGCCATTTGCCCACAATCACCCAGGACTGTTGGATGCCAAAGCCCACTTTGTGTCAAAAGGAACCTCGTGGGAACTGGCTTGGGAAAGAGAGCCTTCTAAGAAAGAAAGTGTGAACTAACAAGGCCTGGCAGTGGGGAGGGGGAGGGGGCCCGAGTTGGCATGGGTTCCGTGCCTGGGTGACGGAGGAGGTGTGCCTGCATAGATGAGGAAGAGGACAGGAAGCCAGTGTCTCAGTTGTACACCCAGCGCCTACTAGGTGCCGGACACTCTGAGGTGCTGGCGACTTAGCAGTGAACAAACTAACTTGTCTGTTCTTAGGAGGCTCACATGGGGCAGGAGACAGAAATATGGAGATTCATGTCGAACATGGCAGCAGGGATACATGCCATGAAAAAACAGAAGCGCGTAGGGTATGGGAGAGAGTGGCGGGGTGCAGTTTCAAAGGGGGTGATTAGGGAAGTTGTCTCTAATAAGGTGACAATTGACAGAGACGTGAAGGAAATAATGGCATGACCGTAGTGAGAGAAGGGCACTCCAAGTACAAAGACACTGGTGCTAGGGGACCCTTAGAGAAGGTGTTCCAAGACCAGAAGGAGGTGCTGTGGCTGGACCAAATGAGGAATTGAGAAAGCGTGGTTGGAGATAAGGTCAGAGAGCTGGGTAAGGGCCGTGCAGGCTTGGCAGGGTCTTGGGCTTATGCTGAGCGAGGTGGGAAGCCGCAGAAGGTTTGCAGCAGAGAGGGACATAGTGTAGTTTCCAAGGCTGTAAATCTTAACAGAAGTAGATTGCCAAATCTTCCTTCTGTGGAGTGGTTGGTGGGTTTGAACTGCCAACCTTTTGGTTAACAGTCAGATGCCTTAGGCACTATGCCACCAGAGCTCCTTTAGCGTGGCCTAGTGTTTATAAGGGAGCTCTGGTGGCGTAGTGCCTAAGGCATCTGACTGTTAACCAGAAGGCTGGCAGTTTAAACCCACCAGCCACTCCTCAGAAGGCAGATTGGGCAGTCTACTTCTGAAGAGATATTGCTTTAGAGTTTATAAACTTTTTATGTTCTGGTTGTTGAATTAAGAAGAGCCTGGTGGGGGAAGGCAAGAGAGGGAGAGAAATCAGAAAGCTATTGTAGTGGATTGAGAAGGCAGAAAATCAGTTATCTGTCATTCACTCAGCAAATGATTATCAAGCACCTTTCATGGGTTAGGTGCTCTGGTGGTGCAGTGGTTAAAGCATTAGGCTGCTAACCAGAAGATTGGTGGTTCGAACCTACCAGCTGCTCCATGGGAGAAAGATGAGGCAGTCTGCTTCTGTAAAGAGTATAGCTCTGGGAACTCCATGGGGGCAGTTCTGCTGTCTCTTAAGGTCACTTCAGGTTGGAATTAACTCAATGGCAGCGGGTTTGGTTTCTATTATTTTCATGGGCTAGGCTGTGCTAGAGACTGGAGGTATGGGGCTGGAGGATGGGATGGCCACTCCTCCTTTTGAGTCAGGGAGCGCTGGACGGAGGAAGTGTGGAGCGTGAGCTTATGGTTCTAGGAGAATGAGGAGTTTCCCTTAAGTCAGGTGTGGGGAATGGTCAGCAGTTTGAAATAACTCAGTACATCATGAAGCTTCTCTCCAGAGATGTGCTGGTTTTATGTGGGGTGGGGGGGGGATGACTTATTTTATTGATTGGGGGGTGGCCAGATGATAGTGGTGATGTTGCTTATGGAAAGCATGCCTCAAGTGGCTTTCCTAAGTCTGTTCCATCAGCCCACCAGAAAGAAAGGGAGTCTGGCTACGTCTTCCTGCCTGCCTGTTCATCTGGGTGTGTAAAGATCAAGAGGAAAGCCGTTCACCTAGCTGGGTTTGGGTGAAGTGTGCCGGATGCTCCCTCTTTGGAGGGAGGAGCTTTGTGACATCTGCCCCATCCTGAGTGCCAGGGTCCCCTCTGGAAACAGAGTCAAGGGTCTGCAGCATCAGCACTGTAGACCCAGCAGGCTCTGTGAGGTGGAAGACTGGCACCTGGAGCCCAAATCCAGGCCTTCTCCAGGGTGTGGGTAGGGCCTGCGGTCTCACTTCCCTGCGCCCCATGCCTTAGGCTTCCCAGGTGGTGAGAATTTGCAGTGACAGGTGAAGGAAGGTGGGATTTAGTAATGATTTATGGTGAAAGGCTTGAACATACAGAGTGCTTTATAAACACTTAATGATCAGTGCAGTTGGGCCGAGAACTGCCCAAGGAGCTGGGGTGGGGGGGTGCATCCGTGTGTGACACAGGGCACTGTTGTTGAGGTTACTGAGGCTAAGTCTCAGGCCTGGCCCCTGCCTCAGGAGCTGCTGCCTCGTCCCGGTCAGGGCTGCCTCTGGGCACAGCACTAGCAGGTGCAGCACATGCTTTGCTCACCGTCACCCTGTGTTAGCATCGTCACCTTCAAGAGAAATAGGGCCTGCAAGCTAACGGGGACCACAGCTGGGATTCACAGTCAGGCCTCCTGCCTCCAGGTCTTTTTCTTTCCTGATACTTAACTGAAACCAAGAGAGGGAACTGCACACAGATACCTTTTTCTTTTTCCCAAAGGCAGAACCCATGCCACTGAGTTAATTTCAACTCACAGCGCCCCTAGAGGACAGAGTAGAACTACCCCACAGGGTTCCGAGGCTGTAAATCTTTACCGAAGCAGACTGCCTTATTTTTCTTCCACAGAGTGGCTGGTAGGTTTGAACCTCTGACCTTTTTGGTTAGCAGCCAGATGTTTTAACTAGCGTGCCACCCGAGCTCCTCCAAAGGTAGAAGGTGCCGAAATTTCCACACTGAAGTTTGAGATGTTTCAGAAATGAGTCAGAGTGACCCAGGAGGTGAGCAGTTCTTGATGGGAGTGTAGCTGGTGAGAGAGATTGTTTGTCTGCATCCGTCCGACCCCCCGCGCGAGAAAGCCCGTCTGTCTCTCGGGGCTGCATTACCTCCAGGCTGTGCTTCTCAAACTTCAGTGTGCATAAGAGTCACCTGGGCAGAGTGACTTCAGAATCTTCGTTTCAAACAAGCTCCCAGGTGATGCTAATGCTGATGTTGTTGGTCCCTGGACCACAAATTGAGTGGTAAGGTTCTGGAGAACTTGTCACAGGCTTTGAGAAGCTGACATCAGACCAAATATGTTCTAGGATGTGATTTTTGACAGGTCAAGAAAGTAAGCTGTTTCTTTCTCTTCTCTGTCCCTGCCCCCTCTGCCTTATACCTCTCTCCCCTCCCCTTCCCCTCTCCCCCCCCTCCCTCTCCTCTCCCCGATGCCAGCTGTTCAGCATGAAGAGCTGGAGTGACATGAGGCAGGAGGTGATGTTTCTGACCAACGTGAATGGCTCCAGCTCTTCCACCCAGATATACCAGGCAGTGTCCCGCATTGTCTGTGGCCATCCTGAGGGTGGGGGCCTGAAGATCAAGTCCCTCAACTGGTATGAGGACAATAACTACAAAGCCCTCTTTGGGGGCAATGGCACTGAGGAGGATGCTGGCACCTTCTATGACAATTCTACAAGTGAGTGTCTCTGCTGGTCCAAGCCCTGGCCTCATACCCACCTTCTAGACTCAGCCCTGTGTCACCTTCTCCAGGAAGGATGCCCACACGACCTCAGGCTTAATGCTTATCAAGCTCTGTAGTGGCTTTGGGCATATGCATGTCTCTCTGCCCACCAGATTCAGAACTCCTGGAGGGGAGAGTCTTGTCTTAAGCAGCTGACTGTCCCTAATCTTTGAATGGTGCTTGCTACAGCTCAGGGGTGCACAGTAGTGTTCATCTAAGGAATGAATGATTGAGAGCCACCTTTCCCAGAGGAATAAAGGGTGATGCTGATCTTTCAGAAAGTATTGTTATTATAACCATCGAGGTAATAAAAACTTTAGAATAAAAGTGAAAATTATACCTGTAACAATGATAATAAATGGTAACATTTAAGGAATATTTGTTATATATTATGCATTCTATTTGTTACATCTTTTAACCCTTATGATAACCTGCCAGCAAGGTTTTATAACCCCACACTTTAGGCTCCTAGAAATTAAGTGGTTGGCTGGAGCCCACCACAGCTCATCTGCAAGAACTGGCATCTGACCTGGATGTGCTTGGCTGCCTGCAGGTCCCAGTTACCCATGCTGCCTCTGAAATCCCTGTCAGTGCTGGCCTGTGTGTGCACTGACACTTGATCTGCTATGTGTTTTTGGTTCTTAGCTGCAAGACAGTGTTAAAGAACCTTGTCACTCCATACCCACTTCGCCCAGTGGGCCAGCTTTGTGGGGATGTGCGCCCTGTGCCCAGTGGCAGGGAGGAGCTGGTGTCACAGTTTTAGACAATGGTATCCTTTTCCTTCAAAACATGAGGCAGGTGAGCCCATCTCCGTTTCCAGCCGCAGGTGTGTCTCTGAGACACTGAGTGAGGCAGCTCTTTGTGCGTTACTGTAACACAGGGGCCTCTCATTCTCTGGAGTAAAGCCCTTCCGATGGTTGTAGGTTGCTTTACGAGCCTGAGAGGATGTCCTTGGGCTCAACAGGCGATGTTAGGAAACGCTATCCCTTCCTGTCCTAAGTGCAGGCCAGCCCGAGGGAGCTTTCACTCGCACACATGATATAATTGTGAGAAAACCCTCTGTTCTTTAATGCTTGTTTTCAGTGTATGGAAGATGCTTAGTATCTTAAAACAAAGAAACAAAAAACCCAGAATAAAATAAAACACTTGTTCAAGACCCTCTGGATCATCACAGTCTATATGGTCTGTGATGCTTTGGATACTTCACTTTTGGGTTTTTGTTAGATGTGAGTATCCTTGTCATGAGGTGGAAGAAAATTGTCTTTCTCTTTCTGATATATTAATTAAGGGGAAAACTTGGATTTTTAGCTTAAAAATGAAAGTCTGAATTCATCCTTCTGGCTGCCCCTCAAGAGTCCTGGTGGTTTGCAGTGAAAACAGAGTGAGGGCTGGCAGGAGAGTCTTGTGTGTGGAGTCCCGAGGGCATGGACACAGTGGAAGCATTTTCTGTAGCATCTCAGTTGTCAGCCATTATCAGCATCTTCAGTTCTGATTGTTTATCCAACATTGTTCTAGAGGCTTTACAGGTAACCTCTTAGCTAATCCTCCCACATCTCGGTCAAGGAGATGTCATTAATTTTATGTACATAGGTGCACAAACCGAGGCTCAGAGAAGTAGCATATGTTCTGCACAGCTAATAAGTGATAGTGCTGGACTTTGAACCCAGGACTCTCTATCTGGCTCCAAAGCCCTTGTTTGTTCCACTTTCTTTCCTAGGAGGATACAACCGTGTATATGAATTGAATGAGTATTTGTCTTTCCTTTTCTCTTAGCCCCTTACTGCAATGATTTGATGAGGAATTTGGAGTCCAGCCCTCTTTCCCGCATCATCTGGAAAGCTCTCAAGCCTCTGCTTGTGGGGAAGATCCTGTATACGCCTGACTCTCCAGCCACAAGGCAGGTTATGGCTGAGGTAAGAAGCCTGGGCCCGAGACTCCCTCCTCGTATTCTTTCCAGAATTAGTGGCAAAAAAAAAAAAAAAAAAGGCTGCTTCCGATGGAACGTGCTGGGCATCCTCCTGGCTCTTCTGGGATTGTCAGAGTGAGAACCTCCAGGCTGATTCAGATCAGAGCTGACTGTTGGGGACCAGCCCCCTGCCTGGGGGATTTGAATCCCAGCTGCAGGCCGGCAGTTCTGGGGGATGGGGAAGCGCTGGCCAAGGGCTTCTGTGATGGAACACCTCTTCAGGAAGCAGCTGAATTGCTCATAGTCTGCCTGTCCCTCCTTTCTCTGCTGCCGCTGGCTCCCCACCTGACCCCAGGTGAACAAGACCTTCCAGGAACTGGCTGTGTTCCACGACCTAGAAGGCATATGGCAGGAGATCAGCCCCAAGATCTGGACCTTCATGGAGAGCAGCCAAGAAATGGACCTTGTCCGGGTGAGTGACCCTCTGATGGCTCTGTGCCTGTGAGTGCCAGACAGATGAATGCCAGTCCTCTCCCACAAGTGACTGGTGAGAACTCTTGACGTTTAACCTGTATAGACATACTGAGCCTCGGGCATGGCTCCAGGGCTGTCACCTCCAGTAGTCTGCCTCATGGTGCACAGGTAACACTGTTCTGGGCATGTTGACAGTAATGTCGCTAGTGCTCAAATGAGAGTTTCCTAAGGAAATTAGCAAGGGCTGGTGTTTGGAACAGGGGTTGGTTATTGCAAGGTCCCAGCTCCATTTTGTTTGTGGCTATAGCCCTTGAGCTAACCACAGCATCTCATTCAGCCTTCCTGGGTCTCAGGTCTTAGAAAGAGGTGTAGGAACAAGAGCATGGCCTTGTGTGTAGTTTGGTCTGAGACACCTGCTCCCTAAGGCACCGCGTGAACACGGAGCAGCCGTTACCACATGGTGGCAGAGGCCTCTCTACAGAAGGTTGCACCCGTGTCAAGCACTGGAATTGGGCTCTGGCCCAAATGTCTGTCACTCGCCTCTTAGATCACTTTTCCATAATACCAGCTCAGAAATATAAATCAAGCTCATTAATCTTTTACTTAATACATAATGGAACTACATGAAATTTATATCTGCACCTTTCTTGCTTTCAAGGATGAAAATTGGTCTGTGATGTCCTCTGAGTTAGTTTTATTCAGTTTCTTCTTTCTACAATAGCAGAATAAGATCACACAGTCTGCCCTGACACATGGGGGCTCTTAAACACAAAAGCGTTAGTTTTGACTTGCTCGGTGACCTCTTACAGCTGGCGATGGAAACCATGATGGTTAGTAAACACCACTCGGTGGCGCCCCCTTCAGGTGGCACATGCCCTGCCTGCCATACCTTAGCTATGCCTCTGCAATGGAGGGGAATGACACTTTGTGTTTCTGAGCCACTGAAAAGGGATAAGTGCTCTAGAGACAACTGGATTCGAGCAGAGGAGTCTGAACAAGAACAGGATGTCTCCTGTGCTTGAGCCTGAGTGCTGTTTAATCACATCCTCCTGCCCTGGGCTGACTCAGACAGTCAGGGGAGAATTTCCCATCTCCATGGGGAGAGAGGCCCCTTCTTCTGTCTCTGCTGCCGTTGAGAAGCAAGAGAGGATTTTGTCAGATTTTTTGTCTTGGTACCTCATCGCTCTAAGGGACAGCTGGGTTTGGGAGCCCGACCCTACCTGGAGGGAACACTCCTGAAATTGAGGACCATCCCCAGATCCCCAGGGAGACAGGATCCCGAGGAAGAAGGCTCTGGTGATAGGGAAGCCAACATCTTGTTGCACTAGTCCTGTTACACATTGGCAGAATTCTTAAATTGGGGCCTTTTAAATTCAAAGGCTTTGAGTAAGGAGTTCTGGTGGCGTAGTGCCCAAGGCATTTGACTGCTAACCAGAAGGCTGGCGGTTCAAACCCACCAGCCACTCTGTGGAAGGAAGACTGGGCAATCTACTTCCATAAAGCTTTACCACCAAAAGGGGTCACTGTGAGTTGGAATTGACTTGATGGCAGTGAATTTTGGTTTTGAATGAGAGAGACATGAACAATCATTCGAATGGCATTATTGAATCACTACTGGATGAGAAGAATAACTTGTGCTTCATGTGTGGACCTCTGCTGGGCTCCAGGCCCTCCTAGAGATTTGCATGATCCAGCCACGGTATTGTAGACCCAGATGTGGTCTTGGGCCTCTCTTGGGATCCGTCTTTATAGTGCTTGGCCATTTTCTCTTTGTCTCAGTCTCAGAGGATCACAAGGGGCCCTGTGTTGTTAGTCTGTGGAGAGATAGATGTTTCCCTACTCTGGGAGAGTAGTCTTGGGCACTCCAGCTGCTCATGGGGAGGCCCTTGTAGAAGTGGCATTGGCATTCATTCAGAATCCTGCTGGGAGAGGAAATGTGGGAGCCTGGGTTTGCAGGGTCACTGTGTCATGCTCAGGACCCTTTACTTTAAGCTGTGGGGACCCTGAAAGGGTTTTACGCAAAGGAGATAGAGACACATTACTCTGATATGAAGAGGACTTGAAGTAGGACAAGGTAGACAGCAGAGACCAGAAGGGAGGCTACTCAATTGAGTGACTGAGAGGCCTGAACCCAGCACTGACGGAGGCATCAGGCAGGAGGTGAAGCCTGGTACTGGTTGGTGCACAGGTGAGAGAGGGAGGCATCTCGGAGGATTCTTGATTTCTGGTTGGGTGGATGGTGGGCATGTTCAGCAGGCCAAGGGATCTCAGAGTCTGGAGTGCAGGAGGGTGGCGAGGCTGGAGACGCAGACTGGGGGTGGCCACCTCTTCCAGCCGCCTCCTTCTCTCTTATTAAGGAGTGTTTAACTCCATGAGCTTGGGCTTCTCCCTCCTTGATCCCCCTGCAGCCTGGTTTCTGGTACCTGAGCGATTCCTGAAGCTCCTGCTTCTGCTGTGGTCCCTCTTCCCTCTCTGCTGCCCCTGGCTCTGTCCACATTCATTGTGTCACAATGCAGATCTAGGGCATTTCTCTCTCCACTCACGGAACCCACTGACACCCACCTGCTCTCTTTCCTGAATGGCTCTTGGCCCCTCATCTCAAGGTCATGCTTTCTCTCAGGGTGCACCCCCAAGGGTGGTCTCAGACCTCCTGGCCCCTTCAAACATTCAAGAATGACCACATGGTCAGTGATCTCACTGGGCGCATCTTTCTGCCTGTTCTTCGGGGAGACAGTGCCCAAATGCCACACTGGGCAGGATAGACCTCACCCTAGTTGTCACATCTGTCACTCTGCTCTTACTTGTTCAGTTGCAGTGTACAAATAAAATTGCTAACCTAGACCCCTGTGAGAAACACTTTGCAAAGCACAATTTTGTATCTGTTATTTTAACAAAAATAAATACACATCTTACTGATGACAGTTTAGATTATTGCTCCCTGTTGGAAAGCATTTGGAGTAGAAATTTTAAGAACCAGGAAAGATGTGCTGTCCTGTGTGCCTCTAGGAAAGGGTCCTATAGAAATAATTTCAAAGAAGTCATTATATGAGTGAAAATGTTATTGCTGTAATAATTGTTATTGTGAAAAATTCAAACTAGCATAAATGCTCAGCAGTGTGGGAATGGTTAATGAAATGATAGTACTTTGGAAGGAGCTCTGATGGCGTAGTGGGTAAAGCTTCCAGCTGCTAACCAGGTCTGTTAACCCACCAGCTGCTCTGTGGGAGAAAGAAGAGGCAGCCGTAAAGATTTACAGCCTTGGAAACCCAGTGGGGGTCGCTATGACTCAAATTGACTCAATCACAGTGGGTTGGGTTGGGTTTGGGGTATAGGCTATAAAATCATTATGCTGTCACTGAGATAATAAATTCAAAAGCCACATGGAGGGAAAAAAGAAAAAAGCTTATGAGGTAAGTGAAAACCTGACTGCTTTAAAGAGTAACAGTTTGCAGACCACTGGAGAGTCGAGGTTGGTGTTTCCTGCTTGGATCTCTAGCAGGAGTTGGGTTGCTGTTCCTTTTCCAGGAGCTGAGTTTGAAATTGCTCTGTCTGGCTCTCTGCCCCAGTCGCTCTCGGTCTGCTGGTGGAAGACCGGACTGATGTGTACTTCTCCTCTTCGTTGGCCTATTGTTGAACCAGATGGCTAGGGAATGAGAAATGGGAGATAGGCCTCTTTTGGGTCATGGCCCCAGTGTCCTGCAAGTGGGAAAGGTTACAGTTTATTTGGTTCAGCAGCAGTGTTATTTTCCTAAACTAGACAGTAAAAGTGAGATTGTCTTAATTCAGTCCAGAGATACAGCATCATTGACTGGGTGTCAGAAGGTAGCATCGTGCATTAGGGAAGTGCACTAGAATCAGAGGGTCTAGGCTTCCAATCCTGGCTTTGTTATTTACTGGCTGTGTTACCTAACGTTTGGGACTTAACTTCTCTGAGCCTCAGTGTTCCCATCTGTAAAATGGGAAATATTAAAAATGTCTTCCTTCTAGAGTTGGGTGGCAAGTAAATGAGACAAGGCAGGGCAGTCACTCAGCACAGTCACTGTGCAGAGTAAACATTATTGTTGGCTTTGTTGCTATTGTTAATACTGTTAAACTGAACTATTTGGTATAATGCAAAACATATGGACTTTGGATTCTGGAAGCTCTGACTTTGAGTCCCAGGTCCTCAACTATTAGCATTTGGATCCAGCCTTGGTAAAACATCACATTCTGTTTTCAGTCTCAGTCTTCTCACCCACAGAATGGGAACACTGCTGGCTACCTCACAGTTTTCTGTGAAAATCAAAGACACAATGTATGTGAAAGGGTTTATGAATGATAAAGTCCTCACCATGGTTTAGTTGGTGTTAACTGCTGTCCTTTCTCACTGCAATGGCAGACACTGTTGGACAGCAGAGGCAATGGCCACTTTTGGGAAGAGCGGTTGGATGGCTTAGGCTGGACGGCCCAAGACATTGTGGCATTTCTGGCCAAGCACCCAGAGACTGTCCAGACTGGTAATGGCTCTGTGTACACCTGGAGAGAGGCTTTCAACGAGAGTAGCCGGGCAATCCAGACCATATCTCGCTTCATGGAGGTGAGCTTCTGTTTCGTGGGTCATTTGGAAAAGATACACGGCTTCTTTCTCTAAGATGTTGCAATAAATAAAGTTCGGTCAGGAAGAAAGTTTAGGAATGATTTACAGTCTTACTTACAGTTGTACCTGTCAAACCTAACACAGGACTTGGTGTACAAAACACATTCAATCAATGTTAGGTAAATGATTGGACGAGTAAATAAAGAAACCTAAGTCTAGCTTTAGTCTGTCTTGATTCGGGAATGTTTCTGTCCATTGGCTTCTAGATTTGCAGGGCATCCTAAAAGTGTTCAGAGTTTTGATGCCCTGATGTTTCATGGCTCCAAAGCGTTCCCTTAAGAAGACATTATTTATGAAGCTTTTCTAACAGCTAACGCAGGACAGGTTATATTTTAAAATTTAGTTCTACAGTATTGTTATGTCACTTAATAGGGACAGATAAAAGAGTTTTTTGGTTTTCTTTGGTTTGCTTAGTTGCTGTGACACAGAATTGCTAAGAAAATGGAGGAAAATGAGAAGTGATAATCACTGTTGCAATCACTCTCCCTCCACACACACACAAAAAAATCAGTGCAAGTAACTTATCTCTAAATATTTGTAGCATTTTCCTTAAATTGCATTTAACAATCAACATGATGCATTCTCAGTTGAAGATTGGAAGACTGCATTTGGGGGGGCTAGAGTAGGAAAAAGCAATTGTGTACTTAGCACTTCTCTCTTTGGGTTGGGTCTGCCGTGGCTCTCCTTATTTTCCTGACCCCAGAGTTCTCACAAAGGCTCCTCTTCCATCAGTGTGTCAACCTGAACAAACTGGAACCAATTGCAACAGAAGTGCAGCTCATCAACAAGTCCATGGAGCTGCTGGATGAGAGGAAGTTCTGGGCGGGCATTGTGTTCACTGGAATCACTCCCAGCAGCGTTGAGCTGCCCCATCATGTCAAGTACAAGATTCGAATGGACATTGACAATGTGGAGAGGACAAATAAAATCAAGGATGGGTAAGTTCCCTCTCCTGACCTCTACCTGGTCTTGGGGATCTCGACTATAGTTATGATGAGTACAGTTACTTTATTTTAACTTATAATTTGGTAGAAATTTCAACAGAAAATAACACAAATTGGTGGCATGGTTATGGTGAAACTGGTGAACACATTGCTGGAAGCTGTTAGTATTTCAAAGGTCATAAAATACCAGTATCTTTTGAGTCAACTTTTCCACTTAAAGGAATTAAATCCAAGGAGTTAAGTCAAGGGAAGCAAAGACTTTAGGCTTCCTCACTAGCTTTATCCATTGTTAGAAAAAGGAGCCCAGAAAAGGAATGATTAAGTCATTTTGCATTTTTCCACTTGATAACATTGTTAGGCAGCAAACTGGAAAAACTATCCAGCAAATACTGTGCTCATTTTGATTAAAAAAAAAAAAAAAAAAAAAACAACTCATTGCCGTTGAGTCAGTTCCACTCATAGCGACCCCTCCTCGGGTTTCTGAGGCGGTATCTCTACAGAAGTAGATGGCCCAGTCTTCCTTACGAGGAGTTGCTGGTGGCTTTGATCTGCCAGCCTTCTGGTTAGCAGTCAAGTGCCTTAGGCACTATGTGTGTATGTCAACAGAGACCAGAAAGTATGATACAAAAATAAAAATAGTGGCTCTGTAATGTGTGGTGGGATTGTAGGTGAATTATTTTTTGTTTTTTAATTGTATGGTTCTAAGCAACATTTGATTACTTGTGTTTGGTTTTAGGTACTGGGACCCGGGTCCTCGGGCGGATCCCTTTGAGGATCTGCGATACGTCTGGGGGGGCTTCGCGTACCTGCAGGACGTGGTGGAGCAGGCCGTCATCAGGGTGCTGACTGGCACCGAGAAGAAAACTGGAGTTTACGTGCAGCAGATGCCCTACCCCTGTTATGTCGATGACATGTGAGTTACCCGTAAGCCACCATCTTCAACCAGTTAACACTGGCCCCAGGTGGGATGGAATAAAGGAAGAGTGCCAAGGGAGGAGATCCGAATGCTTTGGTTGCATTCATTTTTCATATGTGTGGTGCCGGTCCAAGATTATTTTTAAAGTTCTGTGACCATTTCAGCAAATCACATGTCAGATGTAGGTAGTCAACAGTTCCGCTGCATTACAGACATGTGCACACGCTGGTAATCCTTCCTCCTTTTTCTTCCATGGTTACTACTGCTTTCATTTTTTACATTTTACTTCCTTAGTCAAAATTTGTCCAGTTTGCAAGTTTAAAATGTTCTGTGACAAACATAAGCCAATGCATGTATGTGCTCACTTGCAAACAATGTCTGGACTTGTAAAGCTGGTCTTGTGTCATTTTGTCTTGTTCTCTCTGCATGTCCTGAATCTAATTTGGAAACAATTCCAAATAAAATGGAGCAAAGTCTCTGTCTTCAACTTTTTAGATAATCTTTTAGTGCCTGTTCACAGAGCTTCCAGGTACTCACTGGGGCAACAGTGCCTTTGAATTGAATGATTATTTGTAAGAGAAAATGGACAGGCCTCTGAAACACTGACCCCTGTCGTCTCTGCTGCTGTGAGTGTGGAGATGAAGGTGTTTGTGGGGAGGCAGAGCTCCTCCTGCCTTCACTCTCTGCTTTGCGTTCAGCAGCCTGCTTCCTCGAATGACCAGCTTCAGCCTTTACAGATAGCTAGAAAGTATCCTGTTTGCACCTCAGAAAAAATAACTGGGATTTTCCAAAGGAGGGCTTTTCTAAAGGCTCCCAAGGGTTACTCTAAAAAGCTTGTCTAAAGATGGGAGTTAAGAAGCATTAAGAGCCTTTACATATTGCCACGAAACCCATAAGAGGTGAAGCTGGGACTTGAACCTCAGATCTCAAGGTCCACATCCTCTGGCCTGTCTACTTCACGGCACAGCATTTCCTATTCTAGTTTGGAATCTGAAATGTTACTGATGAGAGCTACCTGAAGGATGTTTCTGCACTATCTGTGCTAAGAGTTCTGCTGAGCAAGTCAATAGTGGATTGACCTTGGAGATGTTGAAATTTTATGAGAGAATGATTTTTTTTTATAGTACTTTAAAAAAACCCAGATTCAGCTTAATGACATCTCATAGTTACCTAATTACTGATGCAGGCCTCCAAAGAAATCATGCCTGGCAGGTATCTAGTTTCCATCACTCTGTTGCACGTCTCTTGAAGCATTCTGTAACTTACACATTTCAGGGATCAGAGGGCCTGCCCTTCTTTGGTTCAAATGTGCTGTTTTCTTTGTTTTTCATTTTCATTTTTAAAGTTGATTTATTGTGATGAAAATATATGTAACACAGCATTTGCCAGTGTACCATTTTTTACGTGTACAGTTCAGTGACGCTGAGCCCACCTTCAGGTTGCGCAGCTCTCGTGTTGTGTTTTCTCTGAGTCATTGACTGGCCCCTGAGCCTGGCTGATCTTTGTCTTCACCTCTCCCCCACCTTGCCGGGTACCTGCAGCTTCCTGCGGGTGATGAGCCGGTCCATGCCGCTCTTCATGACGCTGGCCTGGATCTACTCCGTGGCTGTGATCATCAAAGGCATCGTGTACGAGAAGGAGGCGCGGCTGAAGGAGACCATGCGGATCATGGGGCTGGATAACGGGACCCTGTGGTTTAGCTGGTTCATCAGCAGCCTCATCCCTCTGCTCGTGAGCGCCAGCCTGCTGGTGGTCATCCTGAAGGTAAGGCTGCCTTGCACCCTCCTGCCTGTCGGGGAGCTTCGGAGCAGCCCAGCACAGGCGAAGTGAGGAGATGGGCCTCTGTGAGGGGCAAGGGCCATATGTATGTGCTGTATCTTCTAATGCCCTCGTTTGACATCTGGGGAGAGTGAGGCTCAGCAGGGGCTGTGACTTACCCAGGGTTAGGCCAGTGGGTTAACAGCTAAGCAGGCCAAGAACTCAGGGCTCTTGCTTCCTGTGTAAGCGCTCTCTTTATACTATGCTTTCGACCTGGCAGTGGTTCATGGCAGCAACTGACAGCTTTTCATTTCCTGAGATGTACTGGGTGACAATCCTTCCTGACAATTAGAACAACTATTACTAGAGGATATATGTTGTCGTTCTCTGGCAGCAGAGGCTGAGACCTGATTTGGTGTAGGGCTAGTTATTAGGAATCGACATCTGTGGCAGGAGGAGGAGGAAGCAGGTTTGGGCAGAGGGAGAGGTCGAACTGCAGTGCTGGGCCAGCCAGTTGGAGCACCCTGCAATGTGCGTGTCTACTTGAGTTCTCTCAGTTAGCTGAGATGGCTGGGCCTTTGTGATCCACACCCCACCCCCCCAACACCCATCCAGGTTTCCCTCCTAGGACTCCCAACCCAGCCTTCTTAGTCATCACTGGATGTGGGCTGCCTTGGGTGGGGTGTGCCCCAGGGCCAGGTGGCTCTCTGTAGTGGATGCCTGGACAAGTCCTTACTGGAAGGGAAATCTGGGCAGTGCATTTCTGTGTCCACTTTGTGTTGTAATATCCTTATATACCAGTTTTCCGACTCATGGCAACCCCTCTTTGGGTTTCCGAGGTGGTATCACTACAGAAGTAGATTGGTCAACCTTCCTTCCGAGGGGTGGCTGGTGGGTTTGAACTGCCAGCCTTCTGGTTAGCAGTCATATGCCTTAGGCACTATGCTACCAGAGCTCTTTTTTTTTCCATATACCAATTTTATTTCCCTAGTCTTTCTTTTAAGGCTGTATCATATACAAATAAATGTTTTTGAAGAGTAGGAACTAACACTTGCTTTAATACTAGTTGCATTTGTTATGAGTAAGTGCTTACTAATTGCCAAGTGCTGTTTAAAGCTCTTCACATACAAGGTAATGGGGCTCAAGAAGGTCAAGGGCTTTACTAAAGTCCCACAGGTAATGAGTGGCAGAGCTGGGCTTTAATGCAGGACTTGTGAATATGAAATCCCCAACATGCTCTGATATCTAGCCAGAAGGGGCCAAGCTTTTTGATACAGAGTTCCTGTGGCTGGTGTATGAGGGAGCTGCTTGGGGACAGCTATATCCTGGTGGGTCCTGCTGAAATGTACCCCCCTACTAGTGATAACACTCAAAAGGTAGCTGTGTCTGCAAGAGTAATGCAGAATCCCTGGGGGCATAAGATTGCTTGGTCACTTCCTTGGCTTTTGGAGGGAGAAGTCACATGGGACACCACCTCCCACAACTCCTCCAGGTGGTAAGAGCCATAGTCCTTATAAAAGGAGAAACTGGATAATATTTCCTGCTGGAGAATCAAAGAGCAAAACTGTTGATTGAGATGGAATAGAAAACCCTAGACTCTGCTCTGTTCCTGACTCCGGCACTATCTGCTGCATAGTCTTGGGCAAGCCTTCCTTTCTCTTGGCCTTGGGTTCATCATCATGAATGGCATTGGTCCCTCACATCGTCTTAAGATGACTGTGATTTATTTCCGCACAGATTGTGCAAGGGTGTGCTTGGGCTGGTCCCTCCAGCCCGTTTAATGGGTCTCTTCCTTCCCAGTTAGGAAACCTGCTGCCCTACAGCGACCCCAGTGTGGTGTTTGTCTTCCTCTCCGTGTTTGCCGTGGTGACCATCCTGCAGTGCTTCCTTATCAGCACGCTCTTCTCCCGAGCCAACCTGGCAGCAGCCTGTGGGGGCATCATCTACTTCATGCTGTACCTGCCCTACGTCCTGTGTGTGGCATGGCAGGACTATGTGGGCTTCACCCTCAAGATCTTTGCCGTGAGTAACTCTGGCCTATGTGCAGCAGCACCCCAGGTGTCTGACTTGCCCCCTGTAATCTATGAATAGAAGCAGCAAAGTTGAGCACAAAAGAGGAGTCTCTTTCCCATGGAACTTGACCTTCAGTTCTAGATTCTAAGCTCCTTCAAGGCAAGGGTAGTTCCTCTCTGGTGCTCCCAGTGGCTGCTGCTTGAATTGAAGGGAATTTTACAGATGGCCACAGTGCATTGTGAACCTGGCTGTGAACGAATGGCTGGGGGAACTTCCAGAGGAGCAATTTTAGGTTCTAGATGCTGTTTCCCCCCTTTATCTCCTAGCCCTCTTGGCCATGTGAAGCATGCCACGGAGTCATGGCCCACAGAGAACTGAAAGCTGTTGGAGTCAGGGATGGCTCCTTGCTTTCCGTGTGATCACTATGGTGTTTTAGCATAGTGGCTAAGGCACTTGACTGCTAACCAGAAGGCTGGCGGTTCAAACCCACCAGCCACTCCTCGGAAGGAAGGTTGGGCAATCCTACTTCCGTAGTGATACTGCCTCGGAAACCCAAGGAGGGGTCGCTATGAGTCAGGGCTGACTCGACGGCACATAACAACAACAACAACAACAACATTTTCTAAGGTGAACAAGACTAAGGAGCAGGTGCCCCAGTTCCCCACAAGTCCCTGACTTGGACATTTCTTTCCCTTGTACAAATGAGAGGCTCTTGAGGGTGTGCAGGTCCTCCTAAGAGTTGGTTGCCAGCTGTCACTGGGTCACCTGGAAGGAAAGCTGAGAGTCATTCCATGCTAGGAGCTCCAGGTGCCTCAGTCTGGGCCCCTGTGACATCAGCAGCCTTAGACAGGATCCCCTGAGCTGTCTCTAGCTGAGCAGGGAGCCTGGAGACTCTGACGGATGACAGTGTGTGTGTGTGTGTGTGTGTGTGTGTGTGTAGGAGGTGGGATTGCTGAGCCTCTGGGACATCTTTGGAAGCATAACATTCTAAAAGTATTGTATTCTATCACAGATACATTTCTGAACTGTGTTGTGTGTGTAACGAACGGTTATATATAGAATTATTTTATATGCTGCAAGAGAGCCTTCACCCCTAAAGGGACCCTGTAGGTGAATATTTCCACAACCTTGCACTTGATTCATTTGGGAAATGCAGATTTCTCCAGGTGTCTAGGATGCCTTCAGGTATCCTACAGGTTTGCATTAGAAGCGATAGAAAAGTGAAAGAAACGAGAAGACGGATCAGTGACATCTGCCTCTTTCTCACAGAGCCTGCTGTCTCCTGTGGCTTTTGGGTTTGGCTGTGAGTACTTTGCCCTTTTCGAGGAGCAGGGCATTGGTGTGCAGTGGGACAAGCTGTTTGAGAGCCCTGTGGAGGGAGATGGCTTCAACCTCACTACTTCGGTCTCCATGATGCTGTTTGACACCTTCCTCTATGGGGTGATGACGTGGTACATCGAGGCTGTCTTTCCAGGTACTGCGAGCTTCCACACTGCTGTTGCTGAGAGGACATAGGGAGCACAAGCACTGGTACTGACTGGCAGTCATTTCTTGAGTGCGCTGGGCCAGGCATTGTGCACGTCAGTGTATTTCATCCTGACAGTCCTCCAGGGTAGGCACTGTTCTGGCCACATCCAAAGGCGAAGCTGCCATGGATAATATTCATATAAGATCAGCACATGGAAGAGTGAGGTTTAATTATATGGTTCACCTTCTGAGTTATCTCTAGGGAAATATACATGAAATATTTATTACCCGTACCTGAACTCGCTGCATTGAATATGCTATTTCGTACCATATAGACCTGGGTTCAGATCCTTCACTTACTGACTGAGTGACCTTGGCAGGTTACTTACCCTTTAGTTTTCTCTAAAATGTGCATCACACATGCCTCATGGGCTTGTTGGGAGGATGAAGTGAGGCGCAGAATCTACCTGGTAGCTAGCAGATCTCAGCAAATGCTGCTCCTTCTCTCTGAACCTCCCTACCAGTCTGTCCCTTCTCCGAAGGGCTCGGGGTGTCGAGGAAGGAGTGGGTCTGGATGGGATGCCCGAGGAATGCTGGGATGGAGCAGAGCTTGACTCACACCTGTGCTTTGCTTTTAGGCCAGTATGGACTTCCCAGGCCCTGGTATTTCCCTTGTACCAAGTCCTATTGGTTCGGCGAGGAAAGTGGTGAGAAGAGCCATCCTGGTTCCAGCCAGAAGGGAACATCAGAAAGTAAGTGCTGCTGGTCTACCTTCCTTTAACCCTAGTGCCGCCACCCCCACTGACAGTAGGGTGGATTATGGATTTGGCCCTTCAGTCTAAGGCCACTCTAGGGGCAGTGAAACACAGGCGACACCCGTTTCCAGATTCTCCCATACCATTTGTGTTCAACGCTGTTGACTTATCAAAGAATCACTCTCTGGGCCTCTGAGGGACGTTGCCTTTGTTCTCTTGGCCTCTGGGAAGGTGGCTTTTGATCACTGTGTCTTCACCCCTCCCTCTGGCCTCCCACACACATTTCTCATGCTATCATGACTGGCTACAAGGGCGAGAGAGGGCCAGCAGTGACTGTGGGGCCATAACCTCACTGTCTCCCTTTTTATGGTGACACCTGTGAGTCGTGTGGGCTGGCATCAGGTGGCTGCCACAGAGCTCAGCCTGTGCTTCTCAGTGTTATCACCCTTCGTTACCCAGAGACCCAGGCCTCCCCTGGCTCCTGACTGCAGGTAGAGGTGCCCTGTTGATCAGAGGCTCTGCCCTGTGGTTGCTTGCTTGGGTTCTTGGAGGGAAACCCTATCTTTGTACTCAGTGTGACTTCCTGAGTGATTAATAAGTCTCTCTTCTGCTGACCTCTTCTCTGCCCTTTCCCCAGCTGCCATGGTGAAAGTAGACTGTTTCCTAGCATGGCACCCTGGGCTCTTGACAGCCTGCCGGTGCCAACCATCCAGCTGCTTCTCCTGCTGTTCCTCACTCTGCGCTACATCCTCTTGCCACCTGACTCCTGTTCAGTCACCTAGAATTGCTCAGGATTGGTGGAACATGTCCTGTCCTTCCCTACGCTACCTCTGTGCTTTTGTATATATACACCTTTTCCTCTTATAGGAAAACTCTTTGTCCAACTTACCTACCTTCCAAACTCCTACTCATTTTCAAAGATCTGGTTCAAATGTCCCCCTGCTTGAGCAGCCCTCCTAGATTCCCAGGGTAGTCACTACTTTCTCAGAGATTCCATGGCATTTTTCAAGTGTTTTATTTTGAAATAATTGTATATTCACAGAAAGTTGCAAAAACTTATGGGGGTGGTGGTCTCTTACACCCTCTGTGAAGTTCCCCTCAATGATACCACCTTGCATAACTATAGTGTAAATCAAACTCATGAAACCCCTTGGTACAATGCAGGCTTTCTTCAGACTTCACCAGTTTTAACACACACTTCATAGTGTGTACATATTTAATTCTGTGGAATTTTGTCACATGTTAGATTGTCCACAAGGCTGGCAGTTCAAACCCACCAGCCACTCCTCGACAGGAAGACTGGTTCCATAGAGATACCACCGGGGAAACCCAAGGAAGGGGTCACTAAGAGTCATAACTGACTCAACGACAGTGAGTTTGTTTTTTTTAAGATTGATGTCACCATTGCCACAGTCAAGAAGCAAAACCACTAACCTGTTCTTCGTGTCTATGATTTTGTTATTTTCAGGATGTTATACAAATGGAACTTTATTATATGTAAGCTTTTGAGATTGGCTTTTTTCACTCAACATTATTCCTTTGAGATCCATCCCAGTTGTGTGCATTAATGGTTTGTCCCCCTTTGTTGCTATGTAGTGTTCCACAGTATGGATGTACCATAGTTTTGTGGAATTTTTTGATGTTTTTTTAAAAACACAGCTTTTTTAGCATGCTGTGTATTTAATTGCTTGCCAAGTGTTTGTCACCCAACAGACCCTTAGTACTCTAAGGGAAGATGTTGTATCTCCTTTATCATTGTGTCCCCATCACAGCACTAAAACCAAACCGAAAACCAAACCCACTGCCATTGAGTCGATTCTGACTCATAGTGACCCCCATTGGGTTTCCCAGATAGTAAATCTTTATGGAAGTAGATTGCCCTGTCTTCCTTCCATGGATTGGCTTTGGGGTTTGACCCACCAATCTTCTGGTTATCAGTCAAATACCTTATACACTGTGCCACTAGAACTCTTTATCACAGCACTAGCACCCAGATATTAACAAAAATAAATAATAGTATCCTGTCTGCCTGCCTATGAGACCAAATATGGCCATGGAGAGCAGGCAAGTTGAGTACAAACACAGTCCTCTGTGTCCTTACGGTCTTCCCATCAGTATTTTCTGTGGGTTCATTCCTTTCTTCTCTCTTCTCACAGTCTGCATGGAGGAGGAGCCCACTCACCTGAAGCTGGGAGTGTCCATTCAGAACCTGGTGAAGGTTTACCGTGATGGCATGAAGGTGGCAGTCGATGGGCTGGCACTGAATTTTTATGAGGGCCAGATCACCTCCTTCCTGGGCCACAATGGAGCGGGGAAGACCACCACCATGTAAGAAGATGGTGTGGCCCTCACAGAATCCACCCTGGGAGGGATCCGTGGTGCAGCTAGAAATTCACACCTAAGGAAATTGTATTGGTGACCGGGAACATGAGCAGAGCACACTGAAGATAATGTGTCAAAATATTATCTAATTACGAGAGTGCTTGCCAGCTGTTTATTATTTCTTCTGCCTGAAGCAGATTTTTGGCCTTTTGATGACCTTTTCCATTTAGTTCTCAGAATCGTGCTGTGTTCCTAGAAACTGAGACCATGGTGGCTCTGAGATGGGTTCTCTTTTTGAGCTGGTGTGGTCAGAACTGTGAAGCAAGAGTCTGGGAAAAAGAAGTAGATATCTTGGAGGGGAGGTGGTGATTTCTAGGAACCCTGTCTCTAAGCAGTTGTGAGGAACAGTTGCCCTCAATGGGACCCACAGGACCTTGTAATGGGCTGCTTCAGAGGTAGCAAGGGCCATAAAACACCCACGTTCACTTCGCTGGCTTTTAATATTGTCCCTCAACCATTCCAAAGGGTATGTTGGTGGTGACATTCATGTCTTGTTTTTCTTTTCTTTTTGTTTGGACTTTCAGTGTGAAATCAGTGTATTTGGAACATTGCAGATAAACAAGGGCACTCAGAAATCCTACCACCTAACATGAGAATTATTTTCATCTTTGAAAAATTTGTTTTGGTTGTCCATTTTTGTTAGATGGTTTTAAGCACACAAAATGTATGTTTTAAAGTGTACTTTGCACTGCAAATTGGAATCTTCATTTAAAAAATGCACTAAAATTGCCATTTCCAACACACGGGCCTAATCCTATGCACCCTAGGGCCCTCTTGGGTCCATTAAGAAGGAATGGAGAGTGAAAGGGTGGCAGTCTCTGCCCTGGCTGCCCTAGCTCTGCAGCCTGGAAGGGAGCGTCTACAGGGAAGGGGAGCAGAGCCCTGACTCCTTTGCTTTTTCATTTGTCCTCAGGTCAATCCTGACTGGGTTGTTCCCTCCCACCTCGGGCACCGCCTATATCCTGGGGAAAGACATCCGCTCCGAGATGAGCGCCATCCGGCAGAACCTGGGCGTCTGTCCCCAGCATAATGTGCTGTTTGACATGTGAGTACCAGGACCACACTGAGAAGCGCACTCCCTCTGGATGTGGGTGCCGTGGAGCCCTGGGGAGCCAGGGACCTTGCCAAGGGTGTTAGGCTTTACCTCCCTGGGCACTTGGAGATCTGGCTGCCCTTCGACTTTTGCAGCACTAGGAGGTGGTGAATTGTTGGTGGAAGATGATGTATCAGTCCGGATGGTGGGTGGGAGTCAGGGAAGTGACCATCTCCAAGATTATTGTCCCGGGTCTTTGGGCCCACCCTCTGCACCCTTCCTGATGCCTTGTGTATCTCTAACATTCAGACCTGGGGGTACATCAGGGCCTTCCAAATGATGGCTATGGCCTTATAGTCTCTGCTCACCGCAGTTGTTCCCACTCAGGCTGCTCATTCAGCAAGTAGGGTCTCCACGGAGCCCTCAGGGTGGAGGAGAGAAAGCCCTGAGCTGTATGACCTTGACCAAAGCCTTTCCTGCTCTGGGGCCTTAATTTCCTCTTATCTAAAGTGAATGGCTTGGGCTCTTGAGTTCGGGGGCCTTCCTTCTCTGCTTCGGGTGCTTTAAGTTTCAATCGGGCTGCTCCAGGTTCATGCTGAATGAGCTTCGTGGTTGATAGGGCTCCAGGGAAAACCCTTTGCGTACTGTTTGGTGGGGACGTGGAAGTTAAAGCTGCAGTTGTGTCTGATGCACGGGGGCCAAGTCTTGCTTGGATTGGGTTGGAAGTGACCTGTCACATTGCAGCTGTGGCTTCCCGACCTCATGAGGTTGCTCGTGTTGTTCCACCTTGAATCCTTCCTCCAGATGAATGTCTAAGAGGTTGCTAAAGGAAAAATAAATAATAAATAAGCTCCTCCTCTCTTCCATTCTGAGCCAGAGGCACTGTGTTGTGGTGCATCCTGCAGAGGACACTGGCCCTGAGTGGACTGCTTTTCTGTCCCCCAGGCTGACTGTCGAAGAGCACATCTGGTTCTATGCTCGCCTGAAAGGTCTCTCTGAAAAGCACGTGAAAGCAGAGATAGAGCAAATGGCTCTGGATGTTGGCCTGCCACCCAGCAAGCTGAAAAGCAAAACAAGTCAGCTATCAGGTGAGGCCCAGAGCTGCCTCCCCGCTGCCTCGACTGCTCCCTCCCTACACCACACACACACAGACACACACACACACATATACACACACACTCCCAGAGGGAAGAACTGCAGCGGCCCCATCCCAGGCTGGGTGGTGGTTGGGTGGGTAACAGAAACATGCCCCTGACTGTGTTGTTCCCAGGTTGGCACATCCATTGTCTCTCACTGCCTGTGCCTTTGTTCCCCGTTTGGGGCTGGGTCCTGGAGCCTGTTCCTCTTGCTCTTGTAGGTGGAATGCAGAGAAAGCTGTCTGTGGCCTTGGCCTTCGTGGGGGGATCCAAGGTTGTCATTCTGGATGAGCCTACAGCCGGCGTGGACCCTTACTCCCGCAGGGGCATATGGGAGCTGCTGCTGAAATACCGACAAGGTAGCTGATGTGTGTTAACTCTGAGTCAGGGGATGGGAGGGAGGAGGGGCTCTTGAGAAGATGGCTGCCTCTCCTGGCAGCTCTGGCTACAGCAACAGAATTACTTCTCAGGTTCCTTAATTATTAAAAGTGCTTACCTCTTAGAGGATTAAGTTAAATGAGAATGCATGTAAACTACTTAGCACACTGCCTGGTGTACAGCAGGTCCCCAAATACATGCTGCTGCTGTAATTTCCATGAGGATGCCATCCGTAGCTGCAGTCGAGGCTTTGCCATGCGAGGGGTCGTGGCCACACAGGGTTGAGGAGAGTTTCCAGGTCTCTCTCCCATGCTCCCCCCTGTTAACGTCCTGTCATTGCTGCCACTGCTGTCGGTGAGACCTGGTAGGCCCCATCTGCCCACGTCCTTGTGTTTGCCTGGCAGGCCGCACCATCATTCTCTCCACACACCACATGGATGAAGCGGACATTCTAGGGGACAGGATTGCCATCATTTCCCATGGGAAGCTATGCTGTGTGGGCTCCTCCCTGTTCCTGAAGAACCAACTGGGAACAGGCTACTACCTGACTCTGGTCAAGAAGGATGTTGAGTCCTCGCTCAGCTCCTGCAGAAATAGCAGTAGCACCGTGTCATACCTGAAAAAGGTGAGTTGCAGGCCAGTGCTGGGGTGTCGCTGGGTCCACGGAGTCAGAACTCATGGGCTGTGACGGCTTGCCTACCTCTACCCTGTCCCACCATGGGGGGCAGCTGTCTTCCTGCTCTGGTCTCTTTGGAATTGCATCAGAACTCATACATGGAATGCTAAGGAGACTTCCATTCCTGTTGTGATGTCTCTGTTGAGTCCCACATTCCCCCTCTGTGGAAGCATGATGAGTGATGGAGAAGGTCCTTCGAGGACTTCAGTGTGTCGAACAAAAGAGACTTGCCAAGAGTTAAGAGCTGTGGCTGAAGAATGCCTGACCGTCCTTGCTCATGGCACCTTTAAATCTCATTGACTTTAAGTTTTAAACCACAAAACAATGAATATTTATTAAGTCAGACATTCTTTCTAGCAGACTGTGGGCATAAAATAAAATAGTTATAACTCACTGCCGTTGAGTTAGTCCCAACTCATAGTGACCCCTCCTTGAATTTCCAAGGCGTTATCTCCGTGCAAGTAGATTGCCTAATCTTCCTTCTGAGGAGTGGCTGGTGGGTTTGAACCGCCAGCCTTCTGGTTAGCAGTCAAATGCCTTAGGCACTACACCACTCTTTCTGTAGCATTGTTACCATTGACAGAGTGTTTTTGAAATCTACCATCTCAGTTAACGTGTAGAACAACTCTGGGAAGGAGGTATGATAATCCTTAACCTAGAAGTGGGAAGTGAAGCTCGGAAGGATTTGGTAGCTTGTTCAAGGTCCCCCAGCAGGTAAATCACAGAGTGTGGGACCAGCACTCAGTGGCAGGTATGCCTTCCTCTGCACCACAAAACCCGCCTGAGATCATTTTGTTTGTAAAACCAATAACACCCCTCTGCCTGTGACATCAGAGTCCTTTCATGGACATCCTGCAGTCATCTGCATCCCAGCCTTAGACTTCTATCTACTTACTGTTGAACTACCATCTTGTTACTCACGGTGTGGTGAGGGCGAGAACATTAGCATCACCTGGAAACTTGTTATAAATACAGGAATTTGGGTCCTAACTCAGACATACTGAATCAGAACCTGCAATTTAACAAGGCCCCCAGCTTATTAAACACATTAAGCCTGAGAAGCACTGAACCAGCCAACTGGCCAGGTAACTCCCATGCCTGAGACAGCTGGCGAGTGGCTGGTTACGTGATTCATCAGGGAGCACAGTTCTGTTGATGAGTCTGCTTCCCAGCCCCAGGAGGTTAGGCTGTCCACAAAACTGACCTGTGTTAAGCAGTGACTGCTGAAGCCAGGCTGCCCATTTGCATGCTTGACAGGAGGAGAAGCCTTTTGCTCCATTTCTTACAAGACAGAGCCCCCTCCAGCAAAGGTAGTGGTGGCTGTACCTTTGCTTGGCCCCTTATGCATTCTCACCTCCTTCTTTGCCATCAGGAGGACAGTGTTTCTCAGAGCAGTTCTGATGCTGGCCTGGGCAGCGACCATGAAAGTGACACGCTGACCATCGGTAAGCACTCTGGGGTTTCTCATTCAGGTGGAGCCTGAGCTACACCCAGCTGGGGAGAGTGGAGGCAGAGGAGGAGAGGTGCAAAGGCTGGTGGTGCTGACTCAAGGTTTGCCGCTGGGCTGGGGCTGGGTGGCTGTGGGAGCGGGTCCAGCTTGGTGGCAGGGTTGGCTTACTGCTTGCTGGGGAGCCTGGCGCTTGCTCTGGGAGCTGGCAGATTGCTGAGACATGTGGGAGAGCTTTGGAGGTACTCTCAAGGGAGTGGGTCCATCTGGACATTGGAGATGCTGAGGGTCTGAGGGCCAAGCCAGTAGGTGTGTGTGGGGTGGTGGGATATGAACTCAGTACCTAAGGAGAGTGCAGCAATAGTCTTCATATTTCGCTCAGGAGATGTGTACAGAGGCAGATGTCACCAATAGCACATATGACACCGAAACCCTTGACCTGGCCATCTTTGCCCAGTCCTAATGGCTGGTTTTTCCCAGGAAGACTGCTGTTTCCATGATCTGTTTGATGAATCCTCTTTTGAGGTAGACAGGACTTCTTTTAAAAGTTTAGGGAAGAGTGAAAGCTCTTTAATGTTTCTTTGGTCACATTTTCCATTGAAGCTGCCTAGAGTTGCAGGAATAGACACCAGACTTTCATCCTTAGAAAGTCATTCATTCATTCATTCATTCATTCATCCATTTGCCATGCATTGAGTATCTACAGTGTGCCTGGCTTTGGTGAGACAAAGGGGTAAATAAGACTTGGTGCTTGCTCCCAGGAACTCTCAGGCCAAAGATAAACATGCAGAGTGACTTACACGTGTGGCATGTAGTGTAGGACAGTAGGCTTCTGAGGAGTGGGTAAAGGGAGAAGACAGGGACTGGCTGGCCCTTGCTTTGTGGCCTCTGAGCTGACTGAGCCATCCTTGTCCTCTTGTCCTTGCAGATGTCTCTGCTATCTCTAACCTCATCAGGAAGCATGTGGCTGAGGCCCGGCTTGTGGAAGACATTGGGCATGAGCTGACCTACGTGCTGCCCTATGAAGCTGCCAAGGAGGGGGCCTTTGTGGAACTCTTCCATGAAATTGATGACCGACTGTCAGACCTGGGCATCTCTAGTTATGGCATCTCAGAGACCACCCTGGAAGAAGTAAGTTAAGTGACTGAATGTCAGAGTGTAACAATGCCAACAGTTCCAAGGCCAGCCGCACAGACTGCATTCCTAATGGGAGCAGGATCACTGTGGGGCTGGTCTCTGTGTCCTCAGGTCACTGACATCTATGTAACATTGGACCCCTTGCTCCTTAAGATTGTAGTAGGAGATAGCAGGAAAGAAGCATTAAGATTGTTCCCTGGTGGGGTCTGTCACAGCCAGGTGTCAGTTGGACTCCCATGCGTGGGAAGTGGTAAGATGTATGGAAAATATGTTTGTGGAAAGTACTGAAGCTTGGAGTATTTTGTTGTTTGTAATTTTAAAATAATCATTGTAACTTCATTTATTCCTCACAGGAAGATGAGAAAATTGACGCTCAGAGATGCTGGGATCTCCCACATTTTTGGGCTTCAGAACCCATGCTCTGTTGTACAGCAGTGCCTCCCTTTAGAGACAAAATGTCACAGTCTGGAAGGGATAGAAAAGTTGTCTGGCCCAGTAGTTCCCAAGCTTGACTATGTAGAATTGTCTGGGGGATCTTGTAGACAATAACAATTTTAAGGCTCAACTCCAGGGCCTTTGAGTCAAATTTTCCAATGGAAGGGTCTTGGAGTCTGTGTTTTTGTTGCATGCTTCCTAGGTGACTTTCATGTATCTAGCAAAGTCTGTAGACTAGAAGTCTGGTCCAGATTCTCCTTTGATGTTTGAATCCCTGCCATACATCTGCTCTTGAACGTTTCCAGTGATAAGGCACTCATTGCCTCCTGGTCATTCCACTCTGTATAACTTACCACAGTGCTGACCTGTTCACAGATTTTGGGGCACAGACCTAGAAGAAGCCACTTAATTCATTCCCTGTAGGTTCAGAGCAAAATTCTTCTGCTACTGTGTTCTCATGTCATAGCTTTAATTTGAAAGTGATTGCCTAGATTGATAGCTCTCAACACTGAGGAAGAAATGGTCTGTGGCAAAACAGCCTCTCTCCCAAGTGACTTCCATAAAGTGCTATAAATCAATGTGGCTTCTACTTTCTCTGTTTAAGGGGCTAACAAGCCATTCAGTAATGTCGTAACCATGGCTATGACGGCTACTCTCATAATGTTGGTGTGTATAATGTTCTCACCTGCTCTTATTTTTCAGATATTCCTCAAAGTGGCTGAAGACAGTGGGGTGGATGCTGAGACCTCAGGTAAATGAGTGTCTGGGAGCAGCTACACCCTTTGGGTGATGCCTCCCGCAGGCCACTGCCTTGGATCACCAGTATTAGGTGTTTCCATTCTTGTTTTTAGTGGAGACTGTTTGTTTTATTCCGAATAACATGTAGAATTCCTTCTCCTGCCCTTTAGATGGCACCTTGCCAGCTAGACGGAACAGACGGGCCTTTGGGGACAGGCAGAGCTGTCTTCGCCCATTCACAGAAGACGATGCCATGGATCCCAATGATTCTGACGTAGACCCAGGTCTGTTCAGGCAAAATGCGTACTGTTGTTTGAAAGTAAACTGCCCTAGGTGGTTCTCAGGTGGTTTGTTTTGTTGCCTTTGGCCAGGACGGTAGAGCCCTACAAGCTACAAAGGGAAGTAAGGAAAGGCGAAAAGCCACTTTCCCATTTTGAGGTGTTCCTTTAGTCACACCTGAAAGAGTCCATCCTCGTCACTTTTTTCACTGAGCTGAGTTCTTTCTCTCAGGATCCATGTAAAAACGTGGCCCCTAGCCCCTTGGAACCCATTTATTTATTGTCTTTTCTGGAGGGTTCCAGTTCCTACATTAGAGATTTAATTGTTGAATAAATACTTGTTGAAAGGATGAATGATTTTGAAAGCGCCAGAGAGGTGAATTTATTTTTATGGTTCATGATACCTTGGACTTCAGTATTTGGGGTGTGTATGTCCCTGTGAGTCTGAATGGAATGGAGGGGGAGGCAAGAAGTCTAACAAACATTGGTAAGATGCCAAAGTACCTCCATTAGGAATCATTAGTTTAAGACAAGTACTTCTGCAAAATCTTTAAGGAGCAAATCTTTTTTTCCCTCCCAATGACATGTCATGTGAGTGTACATCTCTTCATGATCTCCTTGACATCATACGTTGTTGGTACTTAGATATTGTTTGAAATGTATGTCACCTTTTTACTAAAAACATAATAGATGAGAGACAAATTTCCATTGTATGTTCTCAAGTATGTCAGCACACATACATGGACTGTTTCATAAAATATTTTCTAAGAAATTGAGGGTGAGTTGATTGATCTGAATGACTTGCTATGACACCCGTTACATGTGGACATACCTCCTCAGTTGTGTCAAAGTCCCCTTGTTTTTCTGCTCCAGTCAGATAAGAACTGAAAGGCAGAGGCTGCTGCCATTGGATATTTTGGTTCATAACTTTTTCTTGGACATGGATTTGTCTTGAAAGCCTTTTACTTGTAAGATACATTTAGTTTCAATTGTAAGCCCCCAACCAAGATGGTTGCTGAAAATGTTGGTGGGTGGGACATGGCGATGTCAAAAGTGCCTAGGGTGATAGGTGACCTTCATGTTGGCTTCCTGCAGAATCCAGAGAGACAGACTTACTCAGTGGGATGGACGGCAAAGGCTCCTACCAGGTGAAAGGCTGGAAGCTCACACAGCAGCAGTTCGTGGCCCTTTTGTGGAAGAGGCTGCTGATTGCCAGGAGGAGTCGGAAGGGATTCTTTGCTCAGGTGAGAAGTGCTGGTTACGGCTGGGAAGTTGGGCTTCGTGGTGGACTCCAGGCTGCCTGATCAGCCAGGTCAGGGGACAGCGTCGTTGTTAGGAGGTGGATGCAGGCTGCCTAACCAGCCAGGTCAGGGGACAGCGTCGTTGTTAGGAGGCGGATGCTGGGCCAGGTGACCTGGGTTTCTGTCCCAGTCCTCCTCCTTCCCAGTTGTGTATCTGCTGGCACCGTACTTCTCCGTGCCTCAATCTCCTCATCTGTGAGATGGGGTTGATAATAGTACCCATGACAGGCTTGTTAGGAGATTAAAGCATTATTCTTTGGTCTTAATTTTAATAGTCTTGTAGAAGAGACCTAACAAGGAGAAAGTTCAGGAAAACTAGTTGGGCAAGTTATTTTTTGTATGTTTTTTTAAAAAATTGTAAAATGTTTTACAAATTTTTTGGAACATGTATGATGTTGTGCCCAGATGCACTTGACATAAGAATTTATTGGAGATTCGATTTTTCTCTATGGTGTTGTTTAACTGAAAACTGATAGAAATGGTAGCCAGAGAGATCAGGATATAATTGGTAGAGAGAGAAGGCTGTTAACACTATTGCCTGTTTGTCAGAGTGTGTGTACGTATTCACTTGGTGGTGGTTGTTGTTATGTGCCATCGAGTCACACCCGACTCATAGCAACCCCTCCTTGGGTTTCTGAGGCGGTATCACTACAGAAGTAGATTGCCCAACCTTCCTTCCGAGGAGTGGCTGGTGGGTTTGAACCACCAGCCTTCTGATTAGCAGTCAAGTGTCTTAGGCACCATGCTGCCAGAGCTCCTATTCACTTGGTTAGGAGGGAAGAAATGATTTCACTTGATAAAAATTGATAAGGATAGAGGAGGGTCTGTAGAGATTCTTCCCTGGAGACTGCAGGTAATGAGAAGAATGTGAGTTTGGAGCAGACAGGCCGCAGTTTAAATTCTGGTTTTGTTACTTATTGGCTGTGTGACATTGGGCAAGTTATGTAGTCTCTGAGCCTTGGTTACTTTGCTTGTGGATTGGTGACAGTGATTAAAACTATTTAGAGCTGTAATAAGGATAAAAGAAGTAATTCTCATTACAGTATCTTCCAGCAGGGTTATTCACTAAATGATAATTTTCTGCATCAAAACCCTAGGATACTAGAACCAGGGGTATTATTGGAATGTTCACGTTATTTAGAGATACATTTCTTAACAGTAAATGGAAGGAGCTTCGAGTTTACTTAGGAAATGTTGTTGTTTGTTGTTTTTTGCCGTTGAGTCGGCCCCGACTCATAGTGACCTTATTCTTCTCAGAGAATGGGTGGGAAGTTTGAAGAGGTTTAAGGATGGCCATGGTTTTTGAGGCATTCGTAGGAGACACTGACTGCTGCTGTTTTTCCTGGGTGCCATTGCTGTAGACTAGTATGATCAGAGTATAAAAACTACTCAGTTATCTCAGTCCACAGATTACGAATGAAAAACTGAAGCCAGAGGGACGGTGACTCCGTATGGGCACACTAGTAATAGAAACAGAACCAGGACTCGGGTCTCGGGCTCCTGGTTTCTTGGTGAGGACTTTTGTTTCCTTTATGTTGAAGTATAATCCATACTGAAAGCTATAGTCTTTGATCTTCATCAGTAAGTGCTTCAAATCTTCTTCATTTTCAGCAAGCAGGGTTGTGTCATCTGTTAATTGATTACTACACAATATCTGGCTGTAGTGGTGGTGTCTGCTGGTTGACTGATTGACCACAGCATGTTGTCTCGTATGTTGATGAAAGACTGAGAGTTGAAAAATGAGATCTGGAATTCCTGAATCCAGTTTAACTAGGGAGGGAAAAGGAGCTATCACAGAGAGGGAGAAAAACAGTAACAGAGGCCAAAGGCTCTGCCCACCTAACTTTCTTGCAAAAAGTAATTCAGGCTAAAACTCCATATTCTGGGGGAAAACTGAGAAAGTGAACAGTCTTAACAATTCCAATGCCCCAACAAAAAATCACAAGACCCACAAAGAACAAAGAAACGGTGGCCCACTCTAGGAAGGTGAGAATGGTCGCACAACTTGAGAAGTGTCATCATTGTCACTAACTTAGACACATAGAAACTGTTGAATAGCTTTGTACATTCTCAAAAAAGTAAGGTAAATAAAGCTTGAAGGGGGAACAAATGCCTTGTGGAAACTTGGCTTTGGGCCCTGACTCCTCAGTCCTATGCTGGTGGGTCTGGGAAGCCAGCTGGTCTTGGCATGCCTCTTTGCCTAACACTTGTCTTTCTCCCTGTCATTCTACCCCCCGGTGATAGATTGTGTTGCCAGCTGTGTTTGTCTGCATTGCCCTGGTGTTCAGCTTGATTGTGCCACCCTTTGGCAAGTACCCCAACCTGGAACTTCAGCCATGGATGTACAACGAACAGTACACATTTGTCAGGTATGTGCATGCCCTCTGCACCCAAGGAGAGAGGAGAGCTCAGACAGACCAAAGGTATTCACTATGCTGAGGGCCATAGGGAGGTGGATTCAAGAATACACAAGGGGACTGCGTTTGATCGGCTGTGACTAAGGCTGACCCCACACAAACTACTATTAGATGCCAAGAACAGCATGAACAAACCTGAAATAACAGGCCAGGTCTTGGTTGATTGCCTCACCTGAGCCCCTCTCCTCTTCACACTGCTGTTGTCAGAAAGAGGCCTGTGTGTTTTAGGTGCAGTAATCTGCCCTTGCTAACGTCTACAGTTCAATTATTGACATATTTGGATTTCATAGCTGCATTGTAACTTTGTAGTTGAGTCAGAGGACTTCCTTATGTTGTCAAAGCAGAACACCTCCAGGAATTTAAAGCTTTATTTTCTGCCCAATGCAGTTCATGTATTTATTACCTATTCTTTTAGGTTGTGGGTATTAGCTAGTGTTTGTTTTTTAGACAAAAATATCCCCTACTCCATAATAAACCAGAGCTTCAGACAGAGGGAAAAGGGGATTTCTGGATCTGGTTAGGCAGGGATTTTCTTCAATTCTGTAGGATTTGTAGATCTGTGGATGAGGAAGTATGTGAGTGATATTAAGGGGAAGACTATTCTTTCTTTCAGTCTCTTTCTCTCTAAACCCATCTTTCCTTACTGTAGAGCTCAGGTTTACTTTCTTCTTCCCTTTGCCAGCTTACTGGCCCTGCGTCGCCCAGTACTGTGAAACAGGGGTGGTTCTGCACTTGTGACCTGTGCCCACCCTTCTTTGTGTTGCCTGGTTGCCCAGGTGAACATTCAGCCAATAACAGCTGCCTGCTCTTTCCTGCAAAGTCTTGCTTATGTTGCCTAATGCATAATTTTGAGAGCACTTGTGGAATACCGACCCTTAATAAGTTCACAGTAAAATATGTGTGTAAATGTGTATATACATATGTGTGTGTGGACATATATATGAAAATACATATGTATACACACATACGTGTAACTTCATTTGTACATAAACGCACGTATAGTTAGCGTCATATAGTTAGATAGATAGATAGAGATAGAATATTTATGCAGCCTCTGCTTTGGAGGTGTGCGTGTCACCCTGATGCCAATCTCAATTTCTTGTCCCTGGAGTCTGTGTTATACTCATTTTGTTTTAAGAGCATGGCACACAGGAAGTACTTAATTACGTGTTTAATTTAGAAGAATGTTCGCTCCTCCTGGTTCCTGTTTTTCATGAATTACTGAGCAGGCTGCCTCCCCTGTACCTACAGTAATGATGCCCCTGAGGATACAGGCACTCAGAAGCTCTTGAATGCCCTCACCAGAGACCCTGGCTTTGGAACCCGATGCATGGAAGGCAATCCTATCCCGTGAGTACCGTTTAGTCACGAGCCCCTCAGCGGCTGGCTTCTTGGGCTTGTTGCCTGGCTTGATCTTGAGTACCCTGCACAAATCTGCTACATGCCATGTTTTCAGTCATCAGTTGTCCTTTGAATCATTTTTTGTTTTAAAGAGAGCATAAAAAAGCCAATATAGTAGCCTAGTCAAACCATCTAGGAGCAAACGTTAGGTGAGCCTTCTAACAACCTTTGAAGTAAATCATTAGAGCTGTTTGTTTAATGTTTTAGAGCATTAATATCTAGTTTAAATAGCACTTAACACCTAGCAATCAAATGCTTCCCCTTCTTTCCTCCCACCCACCCTGTAACTCAGTGCAGTGAAGGGGATTTCTGGATCTTGTTAGGCAGGGATTTTCTTCAATTCTGTAGGATTTGTAGATCTGTGGATGTGCGTGATATTAAGGGGAAGACTATTCTTTCTTTTGGTCTCTTTCTCTCAAACCCATGTTTCCTTACTGTAGAGCTGCCTTTGAATAGAATTTGCAGTTTAGTTCATCAAATCATTTACTTTAACAAGAGGACATATTAATTTTTGTAAAAATGGATGTTTTCACCTTTAGAGTTGCATGGTTTTTTGTTTTTTTTTTATCATACTTATCTTCAGAGTTCTTTTTTAAAAAGTGGGCAGTGAATAAATAAATTCAGAGAAATACTCCTCTGACTCCATGTGGAAGAATGTATGCGAGATCATTGTGAGTGAAGGCCAGCTACAGGTGAGGAGCTGATAAGAGAGCCCAGTGCTGGTACAAATGGTCCAAGTCTTGGCAAAATTTTTAGTCTTGGGCAAAATTTGCAGCTGAGCTTGTTAAATTATAGCCAGTGATCTCTGAGGAATTATGGAGAGATAGGAGATTGCTGCATGATTGGGGAAAGACAAATGTGAACTGCAGTTCTTAAAGGGAGGAAGCCCAGCAGTGTTGTAACTGTGCACAAGGTTCCAGAGCACATTTTTTTTAAAAAATACATTTTATTGAAATATAATTTATGTACAATGAAATACACAAAGCTGAAGTGACATGGGTCAATGCATTTTTTTTTTTTTTTTTTTTGCAGTATTCCATCCCCTCCCCTCCCACACCAGGCAACCAACAAAGAAAGTTTCCCTCCATATGCGAACCTTTCCTTGACCCTCCACAACAACAAACTAATACTATATTTGAATTTCTGTGATTGACTCATTTCACTCAGCATAATATCCTCCAAGTTCATCCATATTATGTGGTGTTTTGAAGACTCTACATTATTCTTTAGTGCTGAATAGCATTCCATTATGTGTGTGTACATCCGCTCTTCTGCTATAAATCTTAGAGATAAGTCCCTTGCCAGATATGTAATTATTGGCAAATATGAATTTGTTGCTGTCGTTTTTGTTATATGCTTTTTCATTGTGTTGATTTCTTTGTTCCGTATAATTTCCTATGCTGAGCTTGTTTTGTTAATGATTGTGTTATCACTTACTTCATTGCTATTGTTTTAGAATTTGCTGAATATTCGTGCTTGTCCTCTTTTTTATTGTGATGTGAAGGTTTATCATTTGTCTTTGAGGTTACCCTGTGATTTATATAGTTTTCTTCCCAAGTTTAGAACAGTCCATTCTATCTTGTAGTAGTCTTGACTTCTCTACCAACTAGATGTTCTGTAACGACAAAGTTTTTTCCCTCTTTTTGGTTTGTAGTTGTCCTCATCTGTCAATTGATGTCTCTGGTTTCCTGTTTACAATTTTGTAGGCTTCTTTACTTTGGATATTTCCATAGCTGGTTTGGTTTCTGGGTTATATCATTATGTCTGCTAATGGTCTATTGTGTTGGCTGTTGTTGCTTCTCTGTCCAAATGGCTTCCTTCAGCATCTCTTGTAAGGTTGGTCTGCTGTTGTTGTTGTTATGTGCCGTCAAGTTGGCCCCAACTCATAGCAACTCCTCCTTGGGTTTCTGAGGCGGTATCACTATGGAAGTAGGTTGCCCAACCTTCCTTCTGAGGAGTGGCTGGTGGGTTTGAACTGCCAGCCTTTTGGTTGGCAGCCAAGTGCCTTAAGCACTATGCTACCAGGTCTAGTTTTAACAAATTCCCTTAATTTCTGCTTCTCTGGAAATGTCCTAATTTCACCATCATATTCGAGGGACAATTTTGCTGGGTATATAATTCTTGGTTGGAAATTTTTCTTTTTCACAGTTTTATATATACCATCCCATTGCCCTCTCGCCTATATGGTTTCTGCTGAGAAAGCTGAGCTTAGTCTTACCGGTTGCCCCTTGTAGGTAACTTTTCATTTTTCCCATGCTCCTCTCATGATTCTTTTTTTGTCTTTGATTTTGATAAGTCTGATGATGATATGTCTAGGTGATTTTCTTTTGGGGTCTATTCTGTTTGGGGTTCGTTGGACTTCCTGAATGGATATATTCTCATCTTTTATCACACCAGGAAAATTCTCTTCCAACAAATCTTCGACAATTTTCTCTGTGGTTTTATTTGTTTCTTCCTGTTCTAGAATTCCGATTACATGTAGGTTATTCCTTTTGATGGTATCCCATATGAACCTTAGGCTTTCTTCATTTTGTTTTGATCTTTTTTCTGATTGATCCCTTTCCAAAAAAGTGTTCAGGTATTTGCCTTCAGTCTCACTAATTCTGTCTTCCATTGATTCAATTCTGCTTCTTTGCCCATTCAATGTCTTATCTCTTTCTGAATATTTACTATTAATCTTCTGAATTTCTGTGTATAGATGTTGTATCATTTCTAATTTTTCATTTATTTTGTAATTTTGTTCTTATATTGTCTTTTGAAATTGTTCTATGGTTTTCTCTGTGTTTTCCTTGGTCTGTCTCGGAATTTGTTGAAGATACCTAAATATAATTCTTTTGAATTCCTTATCAGGGAGTTCCAATGCTGCATCTTCCTCAGGGATGTGTTTTGGGTCTGTATCCTGGTCCCTTGTTTCTCCTGCTTCTTTGTGTGGACTCTGATGCTCTGTTGTCTCCGAGGCATTGTGATGTTTTTGTGTTTATATTTAACTGGTGATTGTGTGTTGGAGTGACCTGCCAACGATTTTCATTTTGTTTTATTTGTATGTTATCTATGCAAGCAGGATACTGTGCTCCTCTATTTGCTAGATGACAGCACTTACACACTCACCACCTGTTTCCTTTCCTGTTGTCAGCCTCTCATATGTCCCTGCTGACCTTGGCAGACAAACCCTATTCTTAGGTCCCTGGAATCAAATGAGAATGTTACCACTTTAAAATCCAAAACGGTTGCCACTTGTAAATATTCAAAATGGCTGCACCCTCGGTCACTTTAATATCCAAAATAGCCACCGCTTGTAAATATTCAAAATGGCTGTGCCTTTGGTCACTTTAAATATCCAAAACGGCTGCCACGTGTGAACAACCAAAATGGCTGCACCCTCCGGACAGCGGTGAGTCAACAGCTCAGGTTGTCTCCCTCCTTGCTTTTCCCTTCCTAGTCATAGGCCACCAGTGCAGTCGTCCCTGGGGTTTCCACTAGTTGGTGCCTAATCCACTTCTGTATAGTTCTGTATAGTTCCTTTCAAAGCTCAGGGCTCCGGGAGTATCTTCTGTATCTCTGTCAATTGGTTTTTCCTTTCTTTGTTGAAGAGGGTCTGTGTCGCTTGTCTGCCTATTCCTCCATCTTACTGGAAGTCTCCTCCAGAGCACATTTTAAGTGGATATTTACTATGTACTTGTTAGTTCTTACTAAATGCGTAGTCACAATATGTTTGTAAGTACTTAGTGAGTGGTGACTGTTGGCTCCCAAAGAGCAGAATGACCAGAGTGGATAAGGACCCGGACACAGCCTATTTGGATTTGATAAGACCTTTGATGAGATTCCACATGGACATTTTTGGGGCAAGATAGAAGAATGGGATAAGATGATAATATAGTTAGGTGACTTCACAACTGGCCACCTGAACCTGATGGACTCATAGATTGATGCCAGCCTAGGTAGGATCTGTATGATGTGCAGGTCTGGGCTGAGAGCTAGCCTGTAGAACTAGCCTGATAGCATAGGGTTTACAGCATTGATGTACCACCAAACATTTCTTGCAGGCAACCTGAAGGAACGGCCTCCCAGCACCCTGGAAACTCTTACTGAAAATCCAATTTTAGTTTTTCAAAAAGTGGTAGAACTGAGAGAAATTTGACTGGGACCCCATCAAACTGTGGCCTTTAACCTGTGGTATTTAACTCTGTCTCTGTCTATCATCTTTTGAAGGTTTTAGAGTGTGAGCTTCAGGTGGGCACTGTTTCTTATTTTGACTTTTCCATTTAGTGGAGGTGTTAAAATGGAAATTCTTTTTTAAAGAGAATTAGAGAGCATTCCACTGCTCGTTTGATTTTATTATTACATGCAGGAATAATATAAAGAGTATATTTCTGCTATAAATTGTGGAATTTTAGAACAAGAGAGGACACTGGAAAGGACTTGCTGAAACAAATCATTTTATGTTTTCATTTTGTCAGTTGAGAAAAAAATTCCTGAGAGGGAAAGTGACTGGCTGAGGATCCCACAGTAATTCAGAGTATGAACAGGGATAAAGGCCATTGCCTCCTTGGATGTTTCCAGACAACCTATTTTTTTAAAAATGTGATTTGGGTGAATGTTTACAGAGCAAATTGCCACACGAGTGAGTTCAGTTCTGAAATTGAAGGGCAGCTAGGGGCCATAGTCTCAGAGGTTTCACCAGGCTCTATCAGGCAGCAAACCTGGTCTTTTTTTTTTTTTTTTTTTCATAATTTTGAGTTTTGTTCCACATTGTTCTCCCACTCTGTCCAGGATCTCCTACACAGATCCCCCTCCAAGTGGTTGACAGTGGTAGCTGGGCACCATCTAGTTCTTCTGATCTCATGGTCATATAGGCTGAGGATTGCATGGTATACCAGTCCCTTAGACTAATCCCAAACAACCTAGTTTTTCATGCACCAAGCACTGGACCTGGCACAGAGGACTCCCCTCCTTTCACCTCCCCAATTCATTACTTGTTTTAGAACATATATTGGATCATGCCACTGTCCATACGACTTCTAGCACATTGAACACAAAATCCAGACTCCTTACGTGGCCACTGACACACTTCTCATCCGTTCATCACCTTTTCTCTTAGCTCTCTGTGTTCTAGCCACACTCCCTCCTTGCTGTTCTTTGAATATAGAAGCTCGTTCCTGCTCAGTGCCTTTGGACCCGCACTCTCTGTTGCCTTTGCTTGTAATGCTCTTTCTTCTCAAAAGTCTTTGCCTGGCCTGCTCCTTGTGATCATTACGTCTCAGTTGCATTGTCACTTTCTTAGAGAAGTCTTTTCTAGCTAAACTAGCCCTCCTTCTTCCTAGCCACTCTCTTCTTCATTTCAGACTAAGTTTATATTATTTATTTGTCTGTTTTTTTCAATCTGTCTCCTCCATGGAAATGGAAACTCCATGAGGATAAGTACTTTGTCCTTTGTCTTCTTCACCCCAGACTCTTAAATACTGACACTGGTGTTGGACACACAGTCGATGCTCAGTGAATATTTGTCAAGTGAATAGTAGATGGGTGAGTGGCAGTGTGCTGCTGAATTGGACTGAATGCTGTTTGGTGTATGAGCATTCAGGGCTTCTTTGAGTTCCAGCATTCTTATATGTAAAATGATGTTGCAGCTCAGAAGGCTGTAGTGGGATCAGTCGGATGAGATTGTGCTTGTCTTTTCCAGATGGTGAGGGATAGGTGCATGTTTTTGGCTGTTTAGTCCTGTCCAGAGATAACAGGAAAGCAGACCCTATTGGGTGGTCCATCCTTTCGTGTTCTCTCTTTGTAGAAACATGCCCTGCTTGGTGGGGGAAGAGGAGTGGACTACTGCCCCAGTCTCCCCGACCATCACAGACCTCTTCCAAAAGGGGAACTGGACGATGGAGAAGCCCTCACCAGCCTGCCAGTGTAGCAGCGACAAAATCAAGAAGATGCTGCCCGTGTGTCCCCCAGGGGCAGGGGGGCTGCCTCCTCCACAAGTGAGTGGCTCTCAGAGTGCACTGGAGCAGGTGGGGACCGGCTAGCCTCTGCTTGGGGAGTGGGAATGTATGAGGTAACACATCCCTGAAGTTGATTGCAGTCCCGATTTTCGTTCTTGTCATAGGGAAAAGCGTGCAAGTATTGGAAGGATAGGGGTTTGGGTCACTGTTCTTATATCAGAGGGAACTTAGCTCATTTCTACATTTTGAAAAGCCAGCCTAGGTTACGTAACTCGTTTGAGTTAAAACCAAAATTGCCCTGGGGAAGACTTACCGTGGCCTCTCCCATAGTAGTGGTGTCTCAGAAGATGTACCAGGCTGGGACACTGTAGACCTGGTTCCTGTCCATGGCTCTGCCATGATGACCTGGTAGCCTTTGATAGGCCACTTATCTCGCTGGGCCTGTGTCCTCACATATGAACTGGGGAGACTGGACCCGAAAACAGGCAGGTCTTGTCAACCCTGACCACCTCTGAGTCACTAAGTTCAGAACTATTTGTTCTGAGACTAATTTTATGAAGAGGCTTGTTGGTGTTATCTCTCTGTTTCTTTCTAGTCATCAGGTTGTAGGCTGAGGACAAGCAAATTTTAAATGGATGTGAGAACTTAAAGATATCTTTGTTACATCTCTTTGAAATAACAGCTAATCTACTTATCAGTATAATGCCAATGAATAAAATCATTCACTAGACATAGTTAACATTGCTTCTTCCTGAAAACTTTTTGTGACTATAAAAATCATATTCCACTGTGTGTTATTGAGTTTTTTAGAATAATTTCCTGGGGGAAACCTTGGCTTGGCATAATAAACGGTCAGTGCCAAGGACGGCATGAAGCAGGCCTTGGAGGTGGTTGGCTGATAGCAGAGCCTGGATCCTGTGGCCAGGACTCTGGTCACACTGTGGTACATGTTGGAAGGGCACGTGTCACTGTAGTTCTTGATTTGCTTTTCTGGCCCACTTCTGCTCCATAAAGATATGTGTGCTTGGTTTTTATGTGGTAACAGAGGAAACAGAATACCGCGGACATCCTTCAGAACTTGACGGGAAGAAACATTTCAGATTATCTGGTGAAGACGTATGTGCAGATCATAGCCAAAAGGTGATGATTTCATAAACTTGAATGAAAGGATGAGGAATGATAGACTTCAGTGGTGCGGGAAACATCAAGTGGTTGGCCTGTTGGTGTCCATTGGAAGTTTAAGATAGTCTCCCAAACTAGAATACATGATGAGAGGTGTTGTGGACCAGCTTAAAAGATGAGGCGACATGGTCCAGAATAAATAAATCCAAATAAAGTTGGATTCAACTTTGAATTCTGCCACTTGCAAGCTGCTCAGCTTGGAGAAGCTGGTTATCCTTGTAAAGCTGAGATCCTGTAAAATGCGATTGCTGTGTTCATTTGCTCTTAGGTGTTTGCCGTCAGGATTAAGTGCAGTGGTAAAATGCCTTGCATGTGCTGTCATGGATGGCATCCCTGAGAATAAGTGGTGGTATGAAGGGTGCCCTGGGCTGAATCAGCAGCCGCGTTGGCTGGGAAGAGCCATGTGGCTTCCTGAAATGTTGCAGCCTGGGGTCAGATACTTGCTCACGCCCAAGTTCTGGTTTCCTTCCCTTGTGTCTGCTTGGCTGGCCTCTCCTCACAGTGACTTTAAATGACAAGGGTGTGCTTGAAGGGTAGTGGCAGTGGATTTCCAAGAAAGAGGCACAACCCCTCTGTGTGCTGTCCATCTTTGAAGTACTCCTTTGAATTGGAGAGCTTCATTTTCAGTCACATGCTGCCTTGTGGCCCTACGCACCACCTCTTGGTCTATAAGATGCTTTTCAAATTGGTTCAATCCAAGGCATGATTCTCATGTAAAACATGTTTTTAGATGGAAAGATGAAAGGACATGCTGATCAGAGCTCCTTTCACTTGGCACAACCCTACAAGGTCAACCTCATCACAGGATTATTCCTGTCCCTTAATTGTATCAATGGCTAGATATTTACTCCTTCTGTATCATCAGGAATGGAATTGATGCTTTCTTTGAACTGATTTTTTTTTTTTTTTTTTTTGACTGTTGTAGCTTAAAGAACAAAATCTGGGTGAATGAATTTAGGTAAGTTGTCACTTTTCTGTTCTTTCTTTCAGTTTTCCTCGGGCTCTTCTAGTTTAGTAGTATAAATTTGATGCAGGGATCCTGGGTAGAGAAAAGCTGCAGGTTTGGAGGATCGTTTGACAGTCACACACTCACAGGTGCCACCTCACCATGGGGAGGCCAGAGGCCCCAGGCCCCATAAACACAGAGGGCGCAGTCAGATGTAGATCCCACATGTCTTGGATTTTTGCCCAGAGTGCTTTTTCTTGGTGTCCGGCTGCCACTTCAGAGGCCTCTAAAGTATTTGGCAAACTGATTTCCTTGAGGAGATTCAGAAATCTCTTGTGGGTTGCTAGCGATTTAACAAGCAGTAGAATATTGTCATGGGGATACCTGACCTAGTTTTACTTCTACCACCAAATCAGATCTCAGGGGGTCTCAGGGACTCAGGGACAGTTTTCCAGGCTTTTGGCTTGGGTCCAGGGAGGCCTTAAGATGAACAAAGAGGCCAGCATTAAAATGATCTATTTCCACTGCTTTGCAACCTCCTTATCCTCTGAGTTTTGAAGGAACAGGTGTAACTAGGGCAAAAAAGAAAGGGAAGAATGTCTGGAGCCAATTTGTTCCTCTTGGAAAATGAGGTAGCTGATAGGGTTGCCTCAGGGACCTCAAAGCATGGCTTCCTGTCACTGCTTTCCACCTTTCCTCTTTGCCTTTTCTCTAAGGGGCCAGGGCCTGTGGAACTCTGAGCAGAGCAGATAGAAACCCCCTACAGTGGCCCTTACTCTAGGGAAGAGCCAAGTCCTGTCTAAAAGCCCTAACTAGCCATTCTGTGTGGCCCACCCTTCTCCTTACTCCTCTATCCTAATTCCCCATCTGGTTGCTCAGACCCAAGTTCAGGCTTGGATATCTGTGAGATGAATGACCATTCTTTCCCCAGTGTCTCAGGTGTCTTAACTTTGTGTATTATCAGGCCCAAGCCCCCCCTCGCCACCCCATCTAGTTTCTACTAGCAGCCTGGGCAGAAATGCTTAAGAGTTAAGAGATTGCAGAATCCGTTAGAGGAAGTTGAGCTGTAACTTTTGCTGAGTCTAACTTTGGACCTTCTTTGACTAGGACATTCTTCTAAATGAAGCACGTACACACATGTTATGTCTGCTACTGAGTGATACTGTGTGGCACGTTGTCTGTATTTTAATGTTGGGCTCTTCTTTAGGTATGGTGGGTTTTCCCTGGGTGCCAGTAATGCTCAAGCACTTCCTCCGAGTGAAGAAGTTAATGATGCCATCAAGCAAGTGAAGAAACACTTGAAGCTGGCCAAGGTACGCTATCCATCCCAAGACATGTCAGAAAGATGGGCCCCAGAGCTGCTGGCTTACGGGGATAGTTGGCAGGTAAATCTGATTACCTGGCAGCACATCGCTTTCAAGCCTTTGGACCAGACAGCCATTGTCGGCATTTAGTGATCTTGTGCCAGCGAGTATTCAGCGTCCATTCAAGACTGAAAGTGTAGATTAAAAACAAATTCAGGGATTCAAACACTCTCCAAATATCAAAGGTTATCAATCCCGCCAGTGGCTAAGTAAACTGGCTTTAAACATGCTTTCCTAAAATACTCACTGGCTAAACAGGAAATGAATCAGTTTCTTTTTTAAGTTGGCTGACTGGTCTTCAGGATCTGATAAGTACTCACTTTGTTTCTCTGAAACTCGAGTTTCTTGGTTTTAAATGAGGACTCTGGGAGTCAGAGAACACGTAGGATGCTGGATGACAGTGCTGGTCCTGGAGGCTGTATCTCTGCTCGAGGCACAGCCCCCATGTGGCTGACACATGCACCTGGAGTGTGCTTGTAGCCTGTGATGGTGCCCAGGGGCCACTAGGAAGGCTGCTCACCACCCAGTTACGACATTGGAGTCTCGGGACCTGGCTTCACAGAGCTGCCCTGTGATGCCTCCATGACTGGTGGCATTGCGACGGTACCAGTGCTTTAGATTTCTTCTGGTCACTTGGTTCTTAGGGGCCATATGATGGCTTCACATTGAGTTTCAGTGAGCGAGGAGCAGTCATACTGCTAAACTTAATGTTCTCCCTTACCTGTGTGAACTGTCACAACCGAGTCGTGTTTCTGTTGTCACCCTTACCTGTGTGAACTGTCACAACCAAGTCATGTCTCTGTTGTCCTTAGGACAGTTCTGCAGATCGCTTTCTCAGCAGCTTGGGACGGTTCATGACTGGACTGGACACCAAAAATAACGTCAAGGTAAAGCCCTGCCTGTGTTCTAGTAGCTTCTTGGTGGGTAATAATTCGTGTTCCTTTTGAAGTACTTAATCAGTTCATGATAAAGTCGATAAAGACTGTTCATGACAGGAAGGAGCATACTTTTGACTTACTAAGGAGGCAATATTGTATGGTGGTTAAGAGAATTTGCTTTGCCACCAGACAGAACAAGTGAGCCATTGTGACCTTGACCCAGTGAATGAACCTATCCAAACCTCAGTTTCCTTACCTGTCAAATAGGGATGGTGATTCCAGCTATCTCAAAGCTTTTGTGAGGTTTGAATGAGTTAAAGATTTGAAGTACTCAGCACAGTGCCTGGCCACATGCTCAGTGCTCAGTGTGTCCTGGCTGCTGTCATTACTTTCCCGTATTTGCTATGGCATTTTGACTTGGTATGTGATAACGGTTTCCTCCTGGTTTATGTGATACTTTGTGCGAGCACTTACCTCTGGGAGCAGGGTTTAGGGGTATTGCTCTGCATCTGGTATGTCTTATTTCAGGTGTGGTTTAACAACAAGGGCTGGCATGCCATCAGCTCTTTCCTGAACGTCATCAACAATGCCATCCTCCGGGCCAACCTGCAGAAGGGAGAGAACCCGAGGAAGTACGGAATCACTGCTTTCAATCACCCACTGAACCTCACCAAGCAGCAGCTCTCGGAAGTGGCTCTGTAAGCGCAGCACTGTCTGAACGGGTGTGGTGTGGAGAGGAGAAGGGAGGGTGTTGGGAAGTCACAGAGCAGAGGAAGGGAGGTAGGAAGCTGGTTGTAGGGTACAGCTGGGAGATAGTTACATTATGGCCCCTGAGTGGGATCCAGACTCTCAGCGGAAACGGATGACTGACAGGGCTTCTTGAACTGAGGACGAGAAAAGACACTCATTTATAAAAATTACTACATTTAGTAAATTCGGAAAAAGTAGTTTAAAACCTTGTTCAGAAAACCTTAAACTAATCTAACTCACCATGAACACAAATGTTTAATAAAAGTCACTTTCATTTGTTTTGAATCAACAGTTTTGTACTTGGTGAAACATGTTTTATTAGCTTAATTGCATTTTTAATTTTTTTCCTTATTTTTGGATAAGTCTTCTGAACTTGTCAAGTTGAAGGGCAGTGTGTTCCAGTGCAAAGTGTATATACCCTTTGCAATCATAGAGATCTGGGTTTGAACCTGGTCTCTAAAACTTTGTAGAATGTGGTGTTAAATGAGAGAGTTTGTGTAAATTACCAAGTCCATGACATGGCATGTCAAAAACACAAAATGAGCAAACCCCATTGCCCTTGAGTCAATTTTGACTCATAGTGACCTTTTAGGACAGAGTAGAATTGCCCCAGAGGGTTTCTAAGGCTGGTAAACCTTTGCAGAAGCATACTGTTTCATCTTTCCCATGGAGCAGAGAGTGGGTTCAAACCACTGGCCTTTTTGGCTAGCAGCTGAATACTTTAACCACTACGCCACCACAGCTCCTTACCTGTCACATAGTTGATACTGATTCAACACGCATCAGGTCTCCTTTCTGTATGTGGAACAGACACAGCTCTACTGCTTAACTCTTGTAGGGGACAAGCATAGTCTGCAGAGTTTATACCAAGACCCTGTCTAATGGGCTTCTGAAACTGTTATTAAAACAACGATCTGTTAGCATTTCTGTATCTGTTAGATGATCTGCTATACGCTATGGTTTTCTAATTTATTTACAGCTCCCCCAATGAACTTACTTGAGTAGTTTCACCCCGATCTTTTTGCTCTTCCTGTTTTCAAGCCACACTAGTCCTCTGTGTGTGAAAGTTTACATGGTGCTGCTCTTACAAGGGCAGAACAGTGGGTGCTGAGAGGGACCACAATGACCACAAATAGGCCACTCTCAGACGTTTCTCAGTAGTTACGTCTGGCAGTAGACTCTTTCAACTTTAGGGAAATTAGTTTTGTGTTTGAATTTTCAGTTTTTCTGAAAATAATCCTCTTTTAACTCCTGAATAAAATAAATTTTATGAACAGGTATTTTTTTCCTGGGCTGGGCTTCGAATATTTGTGTGTGTGTGAGAACCTTTGTGTGTGTGTGAGAGAGAGAATGTGTACATGTGTGTGTGAGAGAACATTTGTGTATGTGAGTGTGAGAGAGAGAGTATGTGTGCATCTGTCTCTGTATGTGAGAGAGCATTTGTGTGTGTGTGTGAGAACATTTGTGTATGTGAGAGAGAATGTGTACATTTATGTGTGTGAGAGTACATGTCTGTGTGTGTGAGAGAGAGCATGCATGCATCTGTCTCTCTCTGTGTGTTTGTGTGTGAGAGGGAACATTTGTGTGTGTCTGTGTGTGAGAGAGTGTGTTTGTGTGTCTGTCTCTGTGTGTGTGTATCTTTATTGATTGAGTCTCAAATTGCATCAGAGGCCCCTGAGCTCCTCATTACTGTTTTCTTTACAGGATGACCACGTCAGTGGATGTCCTCGTTTCCATCTGTGTCATCTTTGCAATGTCATTCGTCCCGGCCAGCTTTGTCGTGTTCCTGATCCAGGAACGGGTCAGCAGAGCGAAACACCTGCAGTTCATCAGTGGAGTGAAACCTGTCATCTACTGGCTGTCTAATTTTGTCTGGGATATGGTAAGGACACAGGCCTGCTGCCTCTCTGTAAATCTGCATCAGGGCCCCAACTTGGTATGCTTAAGGAAGCAGGAGACCCCGACTACCACCCGAAGTATTCAGGCTATGCTAAAGATGTATGAAAAAGGAAAAGGCATGGTCCGGTTGTACACTTTCATGACACCGAACACAGCACTGATCTCACACCAGCAAGAACACATGTCCACACAGACTGTAATTGTTACCACCACTACCTAATTTCCTAATGGAAAACTCTTCAAAGAAATGTAAAGATTTTGACCTTAGTCAGAACTCCAAGCCGATGCCTCTAACTTCTCTGATAGGTTTTATCTCCAGAGTCAGAGCGTTCTGTGCCTCACCAGGAACCCCATCTGCTATTTGAGAACTCTGTTTATTTTTCTAGGAGCTATCCATCCATTGTAAATATGTCTTGTACCAAACCAAAACCAAACTCACTGCCATCGAGTCGATTTGACTCATAGCAACCCCTCCTTGGGTTTCCAAGGCAGTATCTCT